AGTATAAATTTTTTTAAACACGAGTATCTGTACTTCTACTTGAGTAAAGGATGTGTGTACTTTTGCCTTCTCTGGATATGCCTATGTGATACAAGGTAGTACAGCCCCAGCTCTGCAGTGACTCCATGTTTCCTGCAGGGGGCAGCAGAGGCTCGAGTTTCTCACCTCCTCTTCCTCCTCCTCCTCTTCCTCCTCTTCCTCCTCGCTGTCCTCCTGTTTGGGCTTCTTCTTCTCCTTCCCCTTCTTCTTCTTCTTGTCCTCGTCCTTCCCCTTCTTCTTCTTGTCCTCCTTCTTCTTCTTGTCGTCTTTCCCTGGCAGGAGGTCGTCTATCCAGGCCAGATCGTGCTGAGAGAAGACCATGTCGAGCATCTTCCGGACCAGCAGCAGACCCAGGATCTGCACCGAGGACAGAAAATATATGTTTCAAATAAACACACTAATAATAATCATTTTTAACCAAAAAACCATTACAACAAATAATAATTAAAACGTATAAAATACATTTGTTGAAATAATTATACATTTTAATTATACAGCGCTTTTTTAAATACTCAAAGAGTTCACGAGCATCAGAATAATTAATCATTCCAATAAAACATATATATTTAGCTGCAAATGTCAAACACAGATGCAAAATTCAGAATTTGGGATGAATAAATTATGTCTACCATTTTAATAAACAATATGTATATTACAGAATATAACTAATAGTATAATATTTAACAAGTTATAAAAGAAAACTGAAAATGGTCCAAAAGGTAAATCTTAAGGAATTAGATCTTTTCAGTTTCTGTTCTTTTTATCTGTGCACTGGATTGTTTTTTGCAACATGTCCGACCTCCCCTGGAGCTTCTTCTCAGCGTCCCGCCAGCTCAGACAGAATCTGGATGTCATGCTACTGAACTATATCCAATTCTCTGCAGGACGTTTCAACTCCAACCTTATTTCCCTGAGGGGGGGGGGGGTTATCTAGCAGCAAAGTAAAAGAAATAGACCACAGAGAAAAATACACAGACTCACTCCAATATAAAAACACATAAAGTACATGCGTATGCCATCGCAAAACACATTACTGTGGTATTACTGTGGGTTAAAATGGTAAATGGAGGGTAACGGTGGTATTATGTTGGGTTAAGGTTGTATTTCGAGGGGTAAGGTGTTTTTTTGGTGGATAAAAGGTATCATTTTTAGGCTTAATGTTGGTATTCTAGTTGATAACATTTGTATTTAGTAGGTCAAGAAAGATTTTGGCGGAGTCAGGTTTTATTCGGAGAGGAAAAAGTGGAATGTTGGTGGGTAAAAGTGAAATTAGGAGGGTTAAGGTAGTATTATAGAGAATTAAGGTGGATTTTGGATGGTTAGAGTGGTATTTTGGTGGGTTAAGTTGGTATTTGTAGGGTTAAGGAGGTATTTTATTCAGTTAAAGTGTTATTTTGGTGGGTTAAGGTGTAATTCTGGTCGGTTAAATTGGTATTTGGAGGGTTAATGTGAGATTATGGTGGGCTAAAGAGGAATTTTGATGCGTTAAAGTGGTATTTGTGGAGTTGAGGTGGTAATTTTACTGTGTTAAACTAGATATTGGCGGGATAAGGTTGGAGGGTTACAGTGGTATTTGAGTTAAGTTAAACTTTGGAGTTTAACGTTGGTGTTTCGGGTTTAAGTTGCTATAATTGATGGTTAAGGTGGTATTGTGTGGGTAAAGGTGGTATTCTAAATGGTGGTATTTTGGTGGGTTAATGTGATATAATGGTTGGTTATTGTGTTATTTTGTGGGTCAAGCTGGTATTTGAAGGTTTTAGGCGGTATTTTAGTTGGTTAAGGTGTTTTCTGGTTGGGTAAATTGGGTTAAAATGGAATTTTGGAGGTTTAATGTGATATTGTGGAGGATATTTTGGTGGTGTTTGAAGGTTTAGGATGGTTTTTTGGTGGGTAAAGGTGGTATTTCAATGCTGGTATTATGGAGGTTTAATGTGATATTTGATTTGGTGGTATTTTAGTTGGTTAAGTTGTTTTCTGGTTGGGTAAGGTAGTATTTCTATGCGATAAGATGGAATTTTGGAGGTTTAATGTGATATTTTGGAGGATATATTGGTGAGTAATTGTGGTATTTGTAGGTTTAAGATGGTGTTTTTGTTGGTAAAGGTGGTATTTTTGGGAGTCAAGGCGGTATTATGTTCGGTTAAGGTAGTATTTTGAAGAATTAAGTTGGTATTTTGAGGATTAACGCACACCAGTGGACCTGTTTTTAGTGAAACATAATTTCCTCTTAGATATAACACGGCATTCACCGAAAGCTATACGTTTGTAAATGTAAGAATTGTTTTCCCACGTACCATAACGGGGAAGATGATGGCTAGGAAGGTGGATTTGAGGGTCCAGAGCACGGCCAGACATAAGATCTGGACCAGCGTGAAGAGGTGGACCTTCCTCAGAGGGACGTGGCGCAGGAAGGGGAAGTCCGGCTGGTGTTTGGACGGCATCATGTACAACTTGATCCTGTCCCAGAACTGAGCAGCACCAGGAGACAAAGAGGACACCTTACTGACAGGCAGACCTCAAAATACACAATACATTTGATATCTATTTACCTTTATTTGTATCATTTATTTTGTACAGACTGCACTCTGGTTAGACCCTCCTAATTTTGTGACACTCTGCTTGCATTATGTAATGACAACAAAGTAATCTAATCTAAAACTGTACATCTAATATTCAAAGCAACTGATACAAACTGTACAATGAACTGTGATAGGGAATGCAAGCATCATTATCTATCCTCGTGTTTTTTAGGAACCTTATGCAACACCCTGTCTGTATTATGAATGTCTTTCACATTTTAAACAATCATACTTAATAGACTTTTTGTTAAGCATTTCAACGAGCGAGAGATCTACATGTATGATTTTTTTAAAATCTGAAACCGTCATCTCTCGCAAATTATGTTAAATTTAGTTAACTGTTTTTGTCTTTGTGATTTTCCCCTTTATTTTTGAATAGTAACCTTCCCTCTCGTTTCAGATACTCTGACCTCCCTTCCTCGTGTGTCTCCCACTCCTGTGATTGTCGACCCCGCCTGTTCCCCATTATCTGGTGTATTTATTACCTGTTCGTTTTCGTTTCTTGTGACAAACTACCAGCGTATCATGCCAGGAATACTCCCAAGCAGAGCTTTGAGCCACGTCTTGTCTGAGTATTTGGTTATTCATGCTCCTAGTGTTTTACCTCATTAAGAGTGACTTTGTTTTGAAACTGTTTTTCCTCGTTAAGAGTAATTTAGTTTTTTATACCACTGTAGTAGAGCTTCGGTTTGAATAAACCTTTTTTGTGGTTAAAACCTGTGTGAGTCGTGCATTTGAGTTCAAACCCGTTTATTCAGTCGTAACAGAAACTTAAAAATAATACCAATTCCATTTAGTTTTCTTTAAAGAAATCAGGGGACAACGTTTTGCACCATTTACCAGCCATAAACTACAATAAATGCAAAGTGGGCTGTCAAAAAAACAATGCAAATCTCTTAAAAATGCTGGTAAATTCATGTCAGATATTTTTATTTTCAAACAGTCATGAGATAATGCAATACCACGACCTGTACCTAAAACAAAACCTACCAAAAATCACAAAACAAAGTTAAACCCTAATCCTAATTTGCAGGAAGTTGCAAAATCTATACCGACTGTATTTAGATAAAAACTCTGCTGTGGATATTTCTTATCACAAACCTACACATTTGATATCTACAGTTTATGTATTAATATCTTATTTGCACTTTTACAACATGTGGGCGCTCATAACATCTCTTCCTGTGATTGTGTGCTCTAAATAAGCCGATTCCCACCTGCTTCTCGTCGGATATATCTGCAATAAGGAAGAAGTCCAGCTTAAAGTGTAGAAGCCCACGTCATATTCTTTCAGATTGATTTCATCTGAATACTGACCTGTGTTTATTTACATGCCTATCCATTTGGTTGTACACTGTATCTGCCACCTAGACTGACCGTTTTATGTTTGTGTAATGTTCGTTATATTTGAAAACTTCAATACAAATATTGTTTAAAAAAAGATCTCCAGCTACAATAATTCGATTTATCTTGAAAACCGACATTAACAGCGTACCTGGATCCCACTGAGAGACGCCACGCCCATGTAGAGGAAGACGCCGTAGAGCACGGGCATCGGGATGTACTGTGAGCGGAAAAAACAACATGTGAGATTATTAACTTAAAGGTCCCCTATCATATCGTTTTCCATCAATATATTACAGCTCTCAGATATATACAGAGCCCGTCTCTGATTGGCTGAAACACCAAACAGATCATTGCAGCATTACCCATAATCCCCTCTGTTTCAGCCCTGTTTCCAAAGTGCTGATTCTCTGTCTGTTACTTCAGATGAAAATAAGGAGCCCCTCCCCACGCCCCTCTGAGAGAGATTTGGTTACAAAGAACTCAATGGTGCTCTAGGAGGAGATTCAGGTGATAAGGGGGGGGGGGGTTACCTTGGTTGGTGATTGGCTAATGGTTACACAAGACAACACATCGTTATGACATCATAAAGTGGCCGAAATCTGATCAGCTCATTTTCAGACAGGTTTTTATAGAAATGGATCAAAAAGAGAGAGAATCTTTGTTCCTGAAACTTTCAGAGTCTCTTTCCACAGAGGGGACACATGTTGATGTAGAGGAGACATGAAGAAGAGGGGACACATGTTGATGTAGAAGAGACATGAAGAAGAGGGGACACATGTTGATGTAGAAGAGACATGAAGAAGAGGGGACACATGTTGATGTAGAAGAGACATGAAGAAGAGGGGACACATGTTGATGTAGAAGAGACATGAAGAAGAGGGGACACATGTTGATGTAGAAGAGACATGAAGAAGAGGGGACACATGTTGATGTAGAAGAGACATGAAGAAGAGGGGACACATGTTGATGTAGAAGAGACATGAAGAAGAGGGGACACATGTTGATGTAGAGGGACACATGTTGATGTAGAAGAGACATGAAGAAGAGGGGACACATGTTGATGAAGAAGAGACATGAAGAAGAGGGGACACATGTTGATGTAGAAGAGACATGAAGAAGAGGGGACACATGTTGATGTAGAAGAGACATGAAGAAGAGGGGGCACATGGTGATGTAGAAGAGACATGAAGAAGAGGGGACACATGTTGATGTAGAAGAGACATGAAGAAGAGGGGGACACATGTTGATGTAGAAGAGACATGAAGAAGAGGGGACACATGTTGATGTAGAAGAGACATGAAGAAGAGGGGGCACATGTTGACGTAGAAGAGACATGAAGAAGAGGGGACACATGTTGATGTAGAAGAGACATGAAGAAGAGGGGACACATGTTGAGGTAGAAGAGACATGAAGAAGAGGGGACACATGTTGATGTAGAAGAGACTAGAAGAGGGACACATGTGATGAAGAAGAGACATGAAGAAGAGGGGACACATGTTGATGTAGAAGAGACATGAAGAAGAGGGGACACATGTTGATGTAGAAGAGACATGAAGAAGAGGGGACACATGTTGATGTAGAAGAGACATGAAGAAGAGGGGACACATGTTGATGTAGAAGAGACATGAAGAAGAGGGGACACATGGTGATGTAGAAGAGACATGAAGAAGAGGGGACACATGTTGATGAAGAAGAGACATGAAGAAGAGGATTTTGCATAATAGGTGACCTCTAAGTAAAAGTATTTACTTAATTAAAAAGGTACAAAAGTATTGGTGTGGCGAATTGAAACTCTCTGGACTGAACACAGGGATTTTAGCCTCTGCAGACCATTTACATGCACTAAAACCTAGATAACACACTACAGGACAAAGACAAAACCCCAAAAAGCAGAATAGGGTCTCTTTAACTTAGAGTTAATAACATATCAAACAGGTGTTATTATCAAAGCTTCATACCTTGAGTACCGGAGCGAGGAAGATGGAGACTCCGGTGAGGCAGAACACCAGAATGCCCGTCATTCTTTGTTCTCTGTTTATTAAAAAAGTAAAAGTATAATTGCAGTCAAATAATCTTTATAGCGGGGCTTTTTTTAGCATTTTACATCCTATGCCATTGTCTCTCTTAAGTCCTGATGAATTCTCCTCTAAACCTTTAATACAGTTACTCGTACCGGATGTGTATTCTGTAGATTGAGATGTCTCTCATTTCTTTTTTTATCTTTCATATTTGGATGCATGATCCCTAATTGATAAAGCTTTGTTTGGCTCTTAACTTTTGCTCTAACAATGTACATATTCCCCCCTGTTGGACGAATATAAGTATTCTGATTCTGAAGTGGTTGGGAAAAGACACAAATATCGTCTAATATCAAGTCAGAATATTCTTTACACTTGATATGAGATGTAAAAATGCAGTGAGATATGGGGTATTGCTTTTGGACAATGCATCAGGGTGCGTTCACACCTGCCTCGTATAGTCCGGTTGAATCGAACCCTGGTGCGTTTAGCCGCTTGGTGCGGTTCATTTGGGTCGGTGTGAACACAGTCCGAGACCTCTGAAGTGAACTAAACAACCGGACTCTGGTCCGCTAAAATAGGTGGTCTCGGAGCGCTTGCTTGTGAACTCTGGAGCGGTTCATGGTGTGAACGCAGTCCGCACCAAAACATAGGAAGCGTAGTATTTACGTGTCACAAGAACGCGGATATCTTCAAAATCTTTAGCGAAAGAGTCTTTCAAGACATCCGCGGTTGTTTAGTTAAAGAGTGAAGCAGAATTTTCATTTCATTTTTATTTGTCCCGCTCATGGTACGCAAAACCAAATGTACAATAATTTTCACAAAACATGACTCTACCATTTAGCGAAAAGGAGCAGGGAGAAGAATAACATCTCATGTGACCTGCCCCTTTCTAAAACAACAAATTAATACAAATAGATGCCCTTCATAATAATAATTTTCACAGCCAAACATAACAGTATCTTAGGATACTAAGAGAAACACACAAATAAAATACTTATTTCCCACTTGACCGTTAACGGAAAGAAACAAAACACCAAAACATCATGTATAAGGAAAAGAAAAGAAAAGTACAACACCCTCATCTGAGTCCTACTGGAGAAGAAGGTGGAAAGCGACACATGATGATAATAACAATAACAATAACAACAATAACAATGGCAATGGGACCCGCAAATACAGAGGAGACATCACATCAAAGACATCAAAAACATGAAGGACCAGTAGATAGACTTATTCACATTCTGCTTCATATAGTCCCATCTTTCTTAATTTATACAACTTCTTTAACTGAAAAATACAAATACAATTCTTTAGATCCTTGTGTTGAGAATTCCACAATTGTACACAAACTACCGAAATACACATTTGTTTAAGAGTAGTCCTTGCATATGGATGCTTAACATTTAATTTCCTTCTGTGGTCTTCCTTGTCTGATCCAAAAACAAACAACTGTTGTAAACATGCTGGTAACATTCTGCTTTGTTGCATTACTGATAATGTCTGCAGCTCGGCTGTCTTTGAGTTTCAAGAGTCCTGACTTAAAAACCAGTCTGTTGGTGTTCTCTTGAGTCAGCTTTATGAATTATTCTTACTGCCCTTTTCTGTAATATTGACAATGGCTTTATGTTGCTCATGTACGTGTTGCCCCACACTTCTATACAATAAATGAAAAATGGCAAAATGAGTGAACAGTACAACATCCTCAATGCCTTGTGATCTAGCAAATACTTTGCCTTGTTTAGAACAGAAATATTCCTAGACACTTTCGTTTTAACATGTGCTATGTGTGATTTCTGAATGAAGTGTTGAACAGTGTCGTGTAAAGTAAAAATTCTCCGTCAGCTACATAAAAGTAAGAACACCTGTCGTCGGTGAAACGCCCCTCCTGACTGCAGAACGTCTCTCATTATGTTATAATGATTGTTAACGCACGTTGTCTGATTATATAATCATATGCGCGGGCCGCTAGAGTCTGTTGATCTCCAGATTAACAGCAGCATGAGAACAACCTGCCGAAAGTGCCGATGCTCCATGGCGGAGGCTCCGGTAGAAATTGCCGGGATTTGCGTTTTTACCCCCTTAATGTCTGACCAATGGTTGAACAGCATTTCCGAGCACATGACTTGTGTTTAAAGTAATGCTGTCAAAATTATCGCGTTAACGGCGGTAATTAATCTTTTGAATTAATTGCGTTAAAATATTTAACGCATTTAACGCATGTGCAGAATGGCCCGCCCCATACATGCCACCAGTGGCAGCGCCAGGGTATGGCTGGGGTAGGCTACACCCATACCAAGAAATGGCTTAGCCCCACCATGACAAATGATGTTAAAGTAAGCAAAATAAAGTCCGCCAACACGTGCCGAGTGAATTGCACAGACAGCAGTTAGTAAGATTGATTTCAGAAGCCACGGTTTTGAAAACTTTTGTCACGTAGTGATCGTCCTCTCAATAGAACATCTTTGATAATGTCTTCTGGCCAATCAGAATCAAGATAACGGCGTGGTGTTGTTGCAGGAAGTCCCGACGGAGAATACTTTTGCTGTAGTACAGGGGTGCACATAACTGGTACGCAGGTTATGTGCGTAATCTGAAATGCGTACCGTCACTTGTGTCACAAAGCGCATTTGCGTACCGACGTACTTGTGAAGCTTTTCCAGAAGGCGGTTAGATCACCGGACGACAGAGTCGGTCTCTGTGTGCACAGACAGGCCTGCTGTTAACGTCGGTCTGTACAACGGAACTGTGCCAAAACTACGCCAACCGGCTGCGGAGGGAGACTTCTCTCCCCCCCCCCCTTCACTGGAGAACTGCGCTAAAACAGCTGATCACAACGTTCACACTCTGTGGTCACGAAGTACTCCACTAGCCACCCCCCGTCGACTTTCCTGAAGTACTCCCCCGTTGATAGAAATCAACACGTAATGAATTAAGACCCCACGGTTTGATGATTGATAGGTGTGTGGGCTGTCTTTCATTTTGACACACAGAAAAATGTTACAATAAACATAGATACTGTATGTGAAATGGATATATCCGCCTTCTTTCATTTATCTTTCCATTCCCACAACAATATGCATAAAGAAATGGCATATTTTGGACATAGTTCGAATGGTGATTAATCATGATTAATTAATTTTTAAGCTGTGATTAATCTGATTAAAAATATTAACCGTTTGACAGCCCTAGTTTAAAGTTTATAGTCCGTTTGAGATTTGCCCGTGTGAACGCAAACCGAACCTTCTGAAAAATGAAACAATGTAACAAACGGTGGTCTGGTGCGCACCAGAAAGCGGACTATAGGTGTGAATGCACCAGTATCTTAAACCAAAGACTCTTGAAAACCACTTATTTTGAGTTGTATCTGAGATGAAACATTTTTCTTTTACTTTTTAATGGTAAATCACCAAATAACATCAGATTGCAGAAATCTTTTGAGCGTTTGTGGCTTATTTTGTAACAACTTATTCTGGTCAAATACAATTCAAAATAAGTTTCCCCAGCTAATTACAAGATCACAATGATCTAAATATCCCTTCTTTTACAATACATCTTCCGTAGCAAATTATCCACTTGTTCTAATAGAAGATATTTGTACTTCTTACAAGCAAAAACACCTTTATAATAATAATAGATTATATTTTTATAGCGCCTTCCGCTTTACAGTACATGCTGTGAACAAACAATAAAAAAAACATGTTTTCATTGTTTTTGTAGGTTTTTTTTTGTACCATTCGTCCGCAGACTGTGTCTCTAATAAAGTTGTATCTGTGTGTTCTTGCACCCACCTGACCCCGAGGAACTGCGGCTGCTCTCCCGGCGCGCTGGACGCACTCTCCATCTTCAGAGAGTCGATGTGGGCGATGGAGATGACGGTGGCCGCCACGTACCAGGGGAGACCCAGGAAGGAGCAGACGGCCATCAGGACCCCCACCCAGAACAGGTCCAGGTGGTAGCCGCAGCCTTTCTGCAAGGGGGGGGGGTTATTGTGTTGTTATCAGAGGTGGGAAGTAGTGGAGTACAAATATTTCGTTACTCTACTTAAGTACATTTTTCTGGTATCAGTACTTTACTCCACTACTAATTTTTCTGACGACTTTCTACTTTGACTTCTTACATTTTGAACCCAAATACCTGTACTTTCTACTTCTTACACTTTGAACACAAATACCACAAATCCCTCCTCTGTTGCTCTCCCTGAGGTTTCTCCCATTTTTCCCTTTAAAACTGTGGGTTTTCTCTGGAAGTGTTTCCTTGTACGATGTGAGGGTCTAAGGACAGAGGGTCTAAGGACAGAGGGTCTAAGGACAGAGGGTGTCGTATTGTCATACTGATATTCTGTACAAACTGTGAAGACCACTGAGACAAATGTAACATTTGTGATATCGGGCTATATAAATAAACATTGATTGATTGATTGATCAGAGATGGCAAAAGTACACACAGCCTTTACTCAAGTAGAAGTACAGATACTAATGTTTAAAAATACTCTGGTAAAAGTAGAAGTACTGACTAAACTTCTTTACTCAAGTAAAAGTAAAGAGGCTTTGAAAAGTACCCATAACTAGCAGCTGCTTTAAAGAGTACCTGACCTCCCTTTATATTAATAGAACAATAATGTCATTGTTAGCTAATGAATGTTTCCATGCTGAACAACGGCAACATGACAACGTTTCCATTGGTCCCTCTTCTTTAGAGAAGACCAGGAAATGATGGATACACGGATCGTGTTCAAATCAATAGGCACGCAATAGGCGCTTTCACACCGGAGTACTTTTCCCAGTATAGTTCCGATAGTTCTTGAAATGTTGCGTTCACCCCAAAAAAATCTGGAACTAGAACTTAGTTCATGAGAACCTTTTCACCACCTTTGTAGTCCCTGCTAGAGAGCAGGTACTTTCCTGGGAGAAAAAGGTTCCCATTTATGATTGGCTGGGTGGATTGCAAACCACGCCCCGTAAAAGTCCGAAAAGTTTTGTGAAGCTGCCATTTTATTTGCTGGCATTAGCATTATTAGCATTAGCATTAGTCCAGCGCAAAAACGCAGAGAGACTAACCTATGGCAACACAAAATAAAACATGGGAGCGGTGGAGATGAGGAGGGTGTCGGCGTTCTGGCGATTTACTCGGAAGGCTTCAATAAAAGCTGCTGGGAGTCCCAGCAGCTTTTATTGAAGCCAGTCCCCAACTCCGGGGACTTCCGGCCGGAGACTTCGGGTGGCAGCATACGACGTGAAGTTGTTTGCGGCCTGCCAGTAAACCCAAAGCAGAAGAAGAAGAAGTGACGTCAGCGGCTTCATTTGCCTAATCCACCCCCAGGGACTTATTCCAGTGTGAACGCGATCTGCTCTTTAGTTCATCAGAACTAAAGAGTTCTGATGAACTAAGTACTGGGAACTAAGTACGGCAAAGAACTTGGTGTGAACGCGCCTAATGACTCTAAATAATAATGATCACGCCACCAAACACAGATTAAAACTAAAGTAACCAGCCTGTGTTCAAAATGTAAGAAGTAGAAAGTACAGGTATTTGTGTTAAAAGTGTAAGAAGTAAAAGTAAAAAGTCGTGGAGTAAAGTACTGATACCAGAAACATGTACTTAAGTAAAGTAACAAAGTATGTGTACTCCACTACTTCCCACAGTAATCCCATTGAATGCACCATCAGGATGTAATATTCCCACCTTGAGTTTGTTCTCCTTCCTGTTGACGATGACGGCGCTGATCTGCTGGTCCATGAAGATGAGGATGGTGACGAGCAGCGCTGGAACGAAGCTCGCCACGTAGACCCACCAGGGGTTCTTCCCAAACGGCATCACCAGCCAGCCTCGGCCGGGACGAGTCGGCTGGAGGCAGAAGAGAGAGGCGATACATATCTTATATCTGATATTTACACTACATTTTAGACCCTTAACAGTTTGTAGGTAGGTTTAACCTCTTACACCAACTGTGTGTGAGTGTGTGTGTGTGTGTGTGAGCGTGTGAGTGTGTGTGTGTGTGTGTGTGTGTGTGTGTGTGTGTGTGTGTGTGTGTGTGAGAGTGAGAGTGTGTGTGTGTTAGCTTCCCTAGAGCAAGTGGCGCTGCTCTGCATGAATGAGGTGTGAATGGGTGAATGACTCGTTGTAAGAGCTTTGAGGGGTCGAAAATACCTGATAAAGATATTTATAAGAACAGTCCATTTACCCTTACAAATGAAGGCCTCGTCCACACGGAGACGATTTCAGTTGTATCCGCTAAAGTTATTTATCGTATAGACGGTTCGTCCACACGAGGCCGAAACGGAGCCGCGGTTTCGAATCCCTAATATGATAAACTTTGAAACCGACTCCCAAAGTGGGTAAGTCTGGAGACGAAACGCTTGCGGCTCCGTGTGTCCGCCCCTATATGATCTTTTCCTGGATCGATGACGCCATAGACCCGCCTCTCCCCACCCCTCCTGCTCACCCCCGCGTCATTGCTGATGCGTTTCGCCAACAACAACAATGTCCGGCAGTCAGTAGGGGCTTGGACTGTGAGCCGTAGGGTCGCCGGTTCAAGTCCCCGACCAGACCTAAATATGGAGTGTGGACTGCTGCTTGGAGAGGTCCCAGTTCACCTCCTGCCCTGCCGTACTGCCCTTGAGCAAGGCACTGGACATCCCCCTTCCCCCCCGCCACTCCCATTGCTCCCGGGCGCTGTACAATAGCTGCCCACTGCTCCTGGTACTAGACTCCTGGTACTAGGATGGGCTAACAGCAGAGAACACATGTCACTGTGTGTGCTGTGTGCTCTGCATGTGTGACCATTAAAGAGGGTTTCATCCCTCCCAATTCTAAAATTCTTCAATGGCGGATCACAGGGTTGCGTTCGTGCTCCAGACGCTACTGACCATGTTACAGATTTGACCTTGTTTGTTTGTTTATGCCTTATGCCCATGCTCGGGGGGTCTTATTCGCTGCTTTTGGTGTATTTTGTGGCGGAAGCACAGCGCCACCTACAGGCCCGGCATATGTACTACAGCGTCTCCAGCGGTTTTGAGCGGTTTCGTTTGGACGGAAGACTTTTTTTAAATCGACTTCGGTTCAAAACCGGTTTCGTCTCCGTGTGGGTGGGGCCTAAAAGCAGTTCTGAAAAGGTGAGTTTCTGATTTGAACATGGCGAGTTATTTGTTTAGTGAGTGGTTTGGAATTAGTGTTTATATTTAATTTGTAGTCTGCTTATCTTGTGTTTGCCTTTTTCTGTACATTGTGCCTTTGCTGTAATACCGTACATTTCCCTGCTTTGTGACAAATTAAAGATTTCTGATTCTGCTTAATTTGAAAAGAGTTTCTGTACCTTAAACTCTGTGGGGACGATCAGTTTGGGGGTCCCGAGTCCCAGCAACATGTCGAGCCCCACGAAGGTCATGATTGACATGAAGATGGAGAAGTCGCTGATCAGTTTCCTCAACTGGAGGGAAACAAAAGTCACAATTCAAGTTAAATAAACATGTATTTGTCCCCGAACTGAATTCACTTCAGGTACAGCATCAGGTAAAAGAAGGGTTCAGTTTATTTGTGTCTGTTTGGTTATCCACTTCCTGTTTGAGATCAGATGCAGGAGAGCCTGTACAATCAGCATGTGATGCTAAAAATGACATTAAAGTGGAAATAAACTACATGTTGTGAGTGTTGTAAGGATTACTGAACAGACCTACTACTAGGTCACGTGATGAGAGCCTCTGTTTGAATATGTATTGTTCGGATGACACAAAGAGACACATAACGACTCAAAATGGCCAAGAAGAAACAGACAACAGCACAAACAAATATGCATATTAAGGTAATGAGTCACAGATCAAACAAAAAGAGACAAACTAGACACAAAATCAGAGACAGACAGGAAGTAAACACTAAAGGGAACAGCAGAAGAAGACAGGAAGTAAACACTAAAGGGAACAGCAGAAGAAGACAGGAAGTAAACACTAAAGGGAACAGCAGAAGAAGACAGGAAGTAAACACTAAAGGGAACAGCAGAAGAAGACAGGAAGTAAACACTAAAGGGAACAGCAGAAGAAGACAGGAAGTAAACACTAAAGTGAACAGCAGAAGAGGACAGACAGGAAGTAAACACTAAAGGGAACAGCAGAATAAGACAGACAGGAAGTAAACACTAAAGTGAACAGCAGAAGAAGACAGGAAGTAGAGACTAAAGGGAACAGCAGAATAAGACAGACAGGAAGTAAACACTAAAGGGAACAGCAGAAGAGGACAGACAGGAAGTAAACACTAAAGCGAATAGCAGAAGAAGACAGGAAGTAGAGACTAAAGGGAACAGCAGAATAAGACAGACAGGAAGTAAACACTAAAGGGAACAGCAGAAGAGGACAGACAGGAAGTAAACACTAAAGGGAACAGCAGAATAAGACAGACAGGAAGTACACACTAAAGGGAACAGCAGAAGAAGACAGGAAGTAAACACTAAAGGGAACAGCAGAAGAAGACATACAGGAAGTAAACACTAAAGGGAACAGCAGAAGAAGACAGACAGGAAGTAAACACTAAAGTGAACAGCATAAGAAGACAGACAGGAAGTAAACACTAAAGTGAACAGCAGAAGAAGACAGACAGGAAGTAAACACTAAAGTGAACAGCAGAAGAAGACAGGAAGTAAAGACTAAAGGGAACAGCAGAAGAAGACATACAGGAAGTAAAGACTAAAGGGAACAGCAGAAGAAGACAGACAGGAAGTAAACACTAAGGGGAACAGCAGAAGAAGACAGGAAGTAAAGACTAAAGGGAACAGCAGAAGAAGACATACAGGAAGTAAAGACTAAAGGGAACAGCAGAAGAAGACAGACAGGAAGTAAACACTAAAGTGAACAGCTGAACAAGACAGACAGGAAGTAAACACTAAAAGGAACAGCAGAAGAAGACAGACAGGAAGTAAACACTAAAGGGAACAGCAGAAGAAGACAGACAGGAAGTAAACACTAAAGTGAACAGCAGAGGAGGACAGACAGGAAGTAAACACTAAAGTGAACAGCAGAAGAGGACAGACAGGAAGTAAACACTAAAGGGAACAGCCGCAGAGGACAGACAGGAAGTAAACACTAAAGGGAACACGATATGGGCTCTGCGGTTTAAAGAGTGGTAAATAAACTGTAAATAGACTTGGAAGGTTACAGAAAACAGAGTATTTTTATCTTTGCGGAAGCAATTACGATCATTTCTAAATCAATATTGTCAGTCAAGTCTTGGGTTTATTAAATACGTAGCCGGGTAGTTTTATTTGGGTCGGGATCCTGTTCTGTTTTCATTAATGACCGCCTCGCTGCACATCCTTTTGTTTTGTCTATAAGAGAAGACGCTCAGGCAGATATTCTCCTCACCTTGGTGGGGAAGTAGCGGCTGAACTTGAACTTCTTGAGGCTGACGGTCATGGAGTAGGTGCCGAAGAAGAGGATGAAGGACATGAGGGCCAGATCGGGGACGTACTTGCAGGTCTTTCCCACCAGAGCCCCTCCGTACTTCAGACACTCCTTCTTACTCAGCTGGCTCCAGTCCAGACCTGTCACATTCAACTGGGGGGGAGGGGGGCGGCAGGATGAAGAACAGCGAAGAGTATTGACGTGGAGGAAAATTAAACATACGGTCGTGTGAAAAGTGGAGCCATGAATGTGATGTTTAAACCCCGAGTGAGACGAGATGAAGTGAGACACAAAGAAGAGAGGATGAGAGCAGTAGATAATGAACTACAATTATGTTTTTAAAAAAAACTGTCTCAATCAGGAAGAAGCTATGAATGGAGATTTGAAAATTACATTCTTATTTTTACATACAAGCTACCCTGCAGTATACAAAGTCATTCAAACTAGCTGCACCTTTACCAGCTTTGAGAACACTTTCATGATCAATCATTATAAAACATATCATATATATTATTCTGAAATGGACCAATCTGCACAACGACTACTTTTACTGTCTTTAACTATATTTTGATGAGAATACTTTTATACTTTCACTTGAGGAACATTTTGAATGCAGGACTTTTACTGTAACAGAGTATTCCTACACTCTGGTACTTCTACTTTTACTCAAGTACAACATCTGAGTACTTCTACTTTTATTCAAGTACAAGATCTGAGTACTTCTACTTTTACTCAAGTACAAGATCTGAGTACTTCTATTTTTACTCAAGTACAAGATCTGAGTACTTCTACTTTTACTCAAGTACAAGATCAGAGTACTTCTGCTTTTACTCAAGTACAAGATCTGAGTACTTCTACTTTACTCAAGTACAAGATCAGAGTACTTCTACTTTTACTCAAGAACAAGATCAGAGTACTTCTACTTTTACTCAAGAACAAGATCAGAGTACTTCTGCTTTTACTCAAGTAGACGATCTGAGTACTTCTACTTTAATCAAGTACAAGATCAGAGTACTTCTGCTTTTACTCAAGAACAAGATCAGAGTACTTCTACTTTTACTCAAGAACAAGATCAGAGTACTTCTGCTTTTACTCAAGTAGACGATCTGAGTACTTCTACTTTACTCAAGTACAAGATCAGAGTACTTCTGCTTTTACTCAAGTACAAGATCTGAGTACTTCTACTTTACTCAAGTACAAGATCAGAGTACTTCTACTTTTACTCAAGAACAAGATCAGAGTACTTCTACTTTTACTCAAGAACAAGATCAGAGTACTTCTGCTTTTACTCAAGTAGACGATCTGAGTACTTCTACTTTAATCAAGTACAAGATCAGAGTACTTCTGCTTTTACTCAAGAACAAGATCAGAGTACTTCTACTTTTACTCAAGAACAAGATCAGAGTACTTCTGCTTTTACTCAAGTAGACGATCTGAGTACTTCTACTTTACTCAAGTACAAGATCAGAGTACTTCTACTTTTACTTGTTGTTATTGTATTCATGTTTCTGCGGCCTTAACTGTAACTTTTGTTCTTTCTTGTGAATTGTATTTCTGTGAAAGGTGCTATACTAAATAAATGTATTATTATTATTATTATTGTTATTGTTATATTACTTGAACACAAGATCTGAGTACTTCACCTCTGCTGTTATTTTGGCATAAATACACCACTTGTAATTCATTATGGGATGTTCCATACAATGAATATAACATTTAAAAAAAAATAATAATTTAAAAAAAAAGTTGAATTAAAATATTAAAACAACACAAACACAACATTATTCACACATTTAAAATTTGAAAACATAATGAAACAAGCACTTACCCCAATGACAGAGACACTAGAGCTGTTATCTGGCATTGGAACTAAAGCATTGAAGATCATTGTAGCCACTGTTTGTGAATGGGGAGAGACAGAGAGTTAATGAGGAGAAAAGGAGAATCCAGCATCTGTTTCTACAGAAATCACTGCGAGGCTCATGCACACACCAACATACTCACTTGTGAGAGATGGCAGCCAAAGTGTTTGTGCATGGCAAAACAGACAGGAGACAAATCAGTTACAGAAATCATTGTCTACAGAAACGACTGCAATTAAAATGTGAAAACGTTAAAATGTCTTCAGCTTGTGTTAGACTTCATTTTAGGCGAACAACCAAAAACACAGATTTTTATAAGGGAGAACATGAAGTGCTAAAATGCTGAATCATTTGCTAATAGTGCAAAATAGAGTGGTGCAGTGATGACTTATATTTGTAGGCAAACCCTGAAGTTAGCATCTATTGCAGAAAATATTATCACTTTATGATTTCTGAAGTAAAACGCTAATGTTGGGCTATAAAGGAACTACAGCACAGTCACATGACTTCACGTCACCACCGCTAAGCTAAAGGTGGCTAATGTTGGGCTATAAAGGAACTACAGCATGGTCATATGACTTCACGTCACCACCGCTAAGCTAAAGGTGGCTAATGTTGGGCTATAAAGGAACTACAGCACGGTCAGATGACTTCACGTCACCACCGCTAAGCTAAAGGTGGCAAACGTTGGGCTATAAAGGAACTACAACACGGTCACATGACTTCACGTCACCACCGCTAAGCTAAAGGTGGCAAACGTTGGGCTATAAAGGAACTACAGCACGGTCACATGACTTCACGTCACCACCGCTAAACTAAAGGCGGCTAATGTTGGGTTATAAAGGAACTATATAGCCTAACATTAGTGTTTTACTTCAGAAATCATAAAGTGGTGTTAATATGTGGAGATTATCCTGCTGAACTAAACCTGTAAGTATCATAAACGTTTGTTTGACAAAGAGTACTTTCTGCAATAATCCAAAATCACATGGAGAAATCCCACTGATCCAGGGAGATGCTGCCTTCAGGGTCCACTATAACCCCCCTCTATCTCCCTGAGCAACAGTCTGAACTCACCCGGGTCCGGGGCCAGGCACTCGCACTTGTACATGGTGACGTACTCAGGCTTAAAGTCGGTGTTGATGGGGTAATACTTGAAGGAGCCCACCATCTTCTTAATGGCGTCTGAGATGAAGATGAAGGAGATGAGGCTGGAGAAGCCCTCCTCCGTGAAGCGCGTCATGTATTTTATGATGAAGCTAGCGTCTGTAGCTACCAGGATGAAACACTGCAGACACGAGTGCATCCCGATCCACAGACGCAGCTCCATGTAGTCGATACCGTTGCTCCTGTGGGAGTGAACATCAGAGAAAGCATGGTTAAAACAGGGTACATTTTGAAGCTTTTAAAGAAGCTCTATCTTGAGTTTTCTCTTTCCTGTGGTGTGTAGGTTTTGGTCTTTGCCTCAATGCTTTTCCCATTGTATGAAGCACTTTTACAGTTCTTGCTTTGTTTTAAAGATATATACATTTACTTGTTCTCATCTATAGCAGGAGATGTAGTGTTTCTCTGTATAAAGACATGATGAAATAACCCTCTACTTTAAAGAGTCCTCTCCTGCTGATGTTCAGGTGTATATCAGTATGTAGTGTCTCTACGTTAAAGAGTCCTCTCCTGCTGATATTCAGGTGTATATCAGTATGTAGTGTCTCTACTTTAAAGAGTCCTCTCCTGCTGATGTTCAAGTGTATATCAGTATGTAGTGTCTCTACGTTAAAGAGTCCTCTCCTGCTGATATTCAGGTGTATATCAGTATGTAGTGTCTCTACTTTAAAGAGTCCTCTCCTGCTGATGTTCAAGTGTATATCAGTATGTAGTGTCTCTACTTTAAAGAGTCCTCTCCTGCTGATGTTCAGGTGTATATCAGTATGTAGTGTATCTACTTTAAAGAGTCCTCTCCTGCTGATGTTCAGGTGTATATCAGTATGTAGTGTCTCTACGTTAAAGAGTCCTCTCCTGCTGATGTTCAGGTGTATATCAGTATGTAGTGTCTCTACTTTAAAGAGTCCTCTCCTGCTGATGTTCAAGTGTATATCAGTATGTAGTGTCTCTACTTTAAAGAGTCCTCTCCTGCTGATATTCAGGTGTATATCAGTATGTAGTGTCTCTACTTTAAAGAGTCCTCTCCTGCTGATGTTCAGGTGTATATCAGTACTTACTTGCTGAAATCGAACAGGAGCTTTTCGAAGATGAGGATGGGTCCGGTGGAGCTGAGGATGATGAGCGGCTGTCCGCTGAAGAGACAAAACACGGTGCCGGCCAACGCCGTGCCGAGAAAACTCTCCATCACGCCCTGAGAGAGGGGAGGAATGGGGAGGTTATTATTTTTATTTTATTTGTTTATTCCACACATGGCAGTTATTTTAAAACAAAAACATGTACACTTAAACTGTTCTTTTAAAAATATATATTATTTATATTTATTATTGACGACTTTGTACTTTTACTTCTTACATGTTGAACTCAAATACCTGTACTTTCTACTTTTTACATGTTGAACTCAAATACCTGTACTTTCTACTTCTTACATGTTGAACTCAAATACCTGTACTTTCTACTTCTTACATGTTGAACACAAATACCTGTACTTTCTACTTCTTACATGTTGAACACAAATACCTGTACTTTCTACTTTTTACATGTTGAACTCAAATACCTGTACTTTCTACTTCTTACATGTTGAACCCAAATACCTGTACTTTCTACTTTTTACATGTTGAACTCAAATACCTGTACTTTCTACTTCTTACATGTTGAACTCAAATACCTGTACTTTCTACTTCTTACATGTTGAACTCAAATACCTGTACTTTCTACTTCTTACATGTTGAACTCAAATACCTGTACTTTCTACTTCTTACATGTTGAACCCAAATACCTGTACTTTCTACTTCTTACATGTTGAACTCAAATACCTGTACTTTCTACTTCTTACATGTTGAACTCAAATACCTGTACTTTCTACTTCTTACATGTTGAACTCAAATACCTGTACTTTCTACTTCTTACATGTTGAACCCAAATACCTGTACTTTCTACTTCTTACATGTTGAACTCAAATACCTGTACTTTCTACTTCTTACATGTTGAACTCAAATACCTGTACTTTCTACTTCTTACATGTTGAACCCAAATACCTGTACTTTCTACTTCTTACATGTTGAACACAAATACCTGTACTTTCTACTTCTTACATGTTGAACTCAAATACCTGTACTTTCTACTTCTTACATGTTGAACCCAAATACCTGTACTTTTACTTCTTACATGTTGAACCCAAATACCTGTACTTTTACTTCTTACATGTTGAACCCAAATACCTGTACTTTCTACTTCTTACATGTTGAACCCAAATACCTGTACTTTCTACTTCTTACATGTTGAACTCAAATACCTGTACTTTCTACTTCTTACATGTTGAACTCAAATACCTGTACTTCTACTTCTTACATGTTGAACTCAAATACCTGTACTTTCTACTTCTTACATGTTGAACCCAAATACCTGTACTTTCTACTTCTTACGTGTTGAACACAAATACCTGTACTTTCTACTTCTTACATGTTGAACTCAAATACCTGTACTTTCTACTTCTCACATGTTGAACTCAAATACCTGTACTTTCTACTTCTTACATGTTGAACACAAATACCTGTACTTTCTACTTCTTACATGTTGAACTCAAATACCTGTACTTTCTACTTCTTACATGTTGAACTCAAATACCTGTACTTTCTACTTCTTACATGTTGAACACAAATACCTGTACTTTCTACTTCTTACATGTTGAACTCAAATACCTGTACTTTCTACTTCTTACATGTTGAACTCAAATACCTGTACTTTCTACTTCTTACATGTTGAACTCAAATACCTGTACTTTCTACTTCTCACATGTTGAACTCAAATACCTGTACTTTCTACTTCTAACATGTTGAACTCAAATACCTGTACTTTCTACTTCTTACATGTTGAACTCAAATACCTGTACTTTCTACTTCTCTCATTTTCCAAACAGCTGGTTCCTTTAGTCTGAATGTGTGTTTGATGCGTGATCATTATTCTTTAGAGTCATTGCGTGCCTATTGATTTGAACACGATCCGTGTATCCATCATTTCCTGGTCTTCTCTAAAGAAGAGGGACCAATGGAAACGTTGTCATGTTGCCGTTGTTCAGCATGGAAACATTCATTAGCTAACAATGACATTATTGTTCTATGAATATAAAGGGAGGTCAGGTACTCTTTAAAACAGCTGCTAGTTATGGGTACTTTTTACTGAAGTACATTTCAAAGCCTCTTTACTTTGACTTGAGTAAAGAAGTTTAGTCAGTACTTCTACTTTTACCAGAGTATTTTTAAACACGAGTATCTGTACTTCTACTTGAGTACAGGATGTGTGTACTTTTGCCCTCTATTGATCTCTCTCACCTGGTAGTTGTCGGTGGCGTCCCCCAGCAGCCCCCCGAAGGTGATGGCGTTGGTGATGCAGCCCAGGTAGATGAAGAGCACGGCGGAGATGGACTGGTAGTGGAAACCCTCGTAGATATCGCTCGGTAGCCACGGCAACTTCCTCTTAATGTCCAGGTACAGACCCCCACAGAAACTGTCACAAACACACACACACACGACATTACATTACACGATCTCCCACTTCAATTCAGATATACTCTACTTATTGTTTTGCAATAATTTGTCATTTAGAAATAGTATTTCCTAATTTGCATAATTGTTTTTCTTGTAAAAATAGTTAAATATATTTTTTTACAGTACATTTCTTTTTTCTATATTCTTACATCTCGTACACATTTTTAGTTATTATAATATTTCTATATTGGCTTTTATTTTACAATTTCAATTGACTTGACTGTGTTTATGCATGCACTACAGAGCAAATGTCTTGTATGTGTAGTTAGCAATAAACCAAATTCAGATTTAAAAAATACAAAAAGAAAACATTGCTAATAATGTGTTTGATTATTGCCACTCGTCTCACTTTCATTTTTTTCGCAGTAATTTCTCATTAATTGGCAATACATTTAATTCTGTATTAAAATATTTGCTTTAAAAAGGTCTTCTTTAACCTGTTAAGCCCTGAGCCTGTTTTTCAGGCCTCAGGCTCGAAAATGACATGCCCAGAACAAATGACCATATCTTCCCTTCTAAAAGGGGGAAATTAATAATCTTTTTTCTCAAAGCAATGACACACCTGTGAGTTGGATGTAGAAAAGTCAGAATCAATATAGAATTTTTTTATTTTAAATTAAATTCAGATTGAAAATTATTTATACCCTTGAATGATGGGATAAGACTACAAGCTTTATGAATCCAAACTATAACATATAAGTACCCTGTATCAAGATTGATGCAAAACAAGTGACATTTGACCTTTTTAGTGAGGTTTAGCAAAGAAAAAAACACCTCTGGGGTCATTTGGGTGGATTTGGGTGGAGTTGCCCTTTCTCTGGAACCCATGGGTCGATTTTGATGATTGACATCTCTTTTGAACCGTTAGAGCCAATAGAATCGAAGGAGGAGTTCCTAAATCCACCTACACATTACCATTGACAAGTGAGAGTCGAAAGCTATTTTACGCTCTGAAAACTGAAAAGTAGGTTTATTGCTGATGGATTATCAGCAATCATTTCAAAGTGACACAGACACATTGGATTGACCTTCAGCAGCGTTTTTCTCGTTTTAATGCCATTGAACACAACTTTTGATCAGAACAACAGCAAAGGTAAGACATTTGCCGTGTTGGCTAAAGCTACGTTGTGTGATGTCTGGGTTTGCTTCCCGCAAGTTCTGATCGTTCACTGATGATACTTATAGATCTAGAATCTGTGGAATCTCAGCTTGCTAGCTGATATCTTGTTTGTGCAGATCCGATAAGTAATAAAGTATTTATACCGTGAGTTCTGTGCTAAGTGTGTTAGCATTTTTTCGCTCGGGGCTCATTTAGACGCTTCTTGTGAGACTTGTGTTTTGTTTAGCTAAAAATGGTTTATATCGTCAGTTAGCTGAGTTTCTTCCCGTTAAGTAGGTATGACACATTAATAGGTTGTTAAATGTTAAGAAGCCCTGAGACACAGTTTCATGAAAAAAAAACGCGTTGCCGGGCTTAACAGGTTAATAAAAAAAAGGCGGAAAGAGGGAGAATTCTACCGGCAGAAACTCAGCGAAATGCTGCCATGATTAAACTCCATCATGTTCTAAACCTCATCATGGATTATTTCTGAAACAGTATGGAGCTCAAACTATTTTTCTCTCTCGGGTTTACCACAAGGTGAGTTCCTTTTATTTCCTGCTTCTTCACACACATACTCTCTTCAGTACAGGTTAGCTCTGAGTGTTAGCGATACTAACGTAAACACAGACCATATTACTTCCAGAACATGTCTCATTGTTTCTGACAGCAATGTTTCTGATTGGCCCGTGGCTGTAAAGCCTGCCCACATTTCAGATATTACGTCATATCGGACGCAAATCTGGATCAGCTCCGTTGTACCCCCGTTTTTAGAGATTTGGGTACGGAGGAAAAGAGAGAGGGTTTTGTTCCCTGACGGGGACACATCTTTATGTATAAAAGACATACAAAAGTGCATTTTGCATGATAGGTCCCCTTTAAATAATCATGACTTCTGCTTTGTGTTTTGATCTACCCACCGCCCGGTGAAAGCCAGCTCCTCCCCCAGCTCGTGTTGGAGGGGCATCTCCTCGTCCTCCGACTGCCCCCCCCCTCCCCCCGCCGTCCCGTTGGGCTGCCCCAACTCGCTCAGGTTATACACCGACTTCCTGCACAAAACAAACGTAAAGCACAGGCTGGAGTAAATATTTTCAAGTTTCAAGGCTTTATTATCATTTTCACATCAGCTATAGCAGTGTAGATATGGCAATGAAAAACTGAAGTTACAGGATCCTCCAACATGCAACATTAATATATATAGGACATAAAACAGAAACAAAACGTAGAGCACCGAAGAGAGTTAATATGGGGGTAAGAAAATATGAATGCATTATAAAATATGCATTACAAAGCAATATTAGCATTACAAATACAAAGCAAAGAGTGTAGGAAGCATTTAATCTATTGTAGATAATTTAATTACATTATTTTTTAATGCAACCCCTAAATGATGATGCCCCCATCAAAATATCAGGGTTGCATGAAGTAAATAATGTAATACAATTCTGCAATCCAACTCTGATGCAATATAATTGTTACCTGTTTTAAAACGGGGCTTCACAATTAAGTAAATAGTGTAATTAAATTCTGATGCAATCAAAAAAATGTTGCAATCCATTTCTGATGCAATTTAATTACGCCGTTTAAAAAGGGGGCTTCACAAAAAAGTGTAACGTTTTTTAATGAATGACTACATGATTTGGTTTGATGTACAATCAGGATCAATTGGAGTAGATGTTCAGTTGTACACTTGGATCATTAGATTATTGGGTGCCAAAATGTTTCTCCATGATGCTCAAAGTGTCTTTTCAAAGGGTTGTAAATCTTTTCAAACCAAGTTTATTTGGTAAAAGATAGAACTCTGTTGCATTTCGCTTATCGTGCCACCAAAAAACCCACTGAGAGTTTAAGTTAATCTCTGAGAAAGATGGTAAAACTCAAACCTCTTGTCGGCCGTGGGGACTTTCTTTGGCGGCTCAATGCGGATTTTGGGATCCCATTCTCCAGGCGGCAGAACAATCACCTCGTCCAAAAACTCATCTATGCCGGCGATGAGATCCTCCCGATCTCTGGCCTTATAGGCGACATCACTGAAGAGCTGGGAGATAAAAAGAAAGAGGATTTAACCGTTTAATTTGGCTTACATGTCGCTGTTATTTACTGCTTTAATAACTAGGATTCCCCGTCCTCTCTGATGGCTCTTTGGAGACTTGTTAAATACAAACTGTGGAATAAAAATCGGCATTTTGACCTCAGTTGAATTACATTTTAAAACAAATGTAGCTCAGCGTAAGTTCAATCAGGAAGACAATATCATCGGGTGTCACACGTTATCTCAATAAGCGATCAGGGGCGTTACGCCCCGGCTAGCCAATCATCGCACCTGCTAACCCCTTTAAATCTGCTCTCCCCTCCCTGTCAGTTGTCATTTCAGGCGTCAACGCACAACCCTCCTCCACCCCTTCGCCTCCTGTGTCCTAATACAGGGCCAAGCTGAAACCTTCTCCTTTCAGATCGGACTATCACCACCACCAGAGTCTAGACCCCGGGGGGTTCATCAGAGCGGTTCTTTCCCTCCTGAATGATCATCCTGCAAACCCGGGGCCTAATCGCCAAAACATCATTACAGTTACTTGTCTTGTCAATCACTATTCCCGCATATCATGTGTCCCGATAATAAACATGTATTTCATACATCACGTCTCTCCTGATTTAACTGTCATTCAGTAACTAATCGTGCACTAGAAACACTATTAGTAGAGTGCATTGGAGCATATACAAAGGGTTATTTCTAATTTGCAATGACCTGGGCATTGGTTCAGTTTTCCGAATAGCCACAAAGATCCCCCAAGAGTAGTGTGTAGTACATTCATTTCCTCCCACACCAACAGATTGTAAACCAAGTTTATAGCTGCATTTAAAGGATGTCTGCATTTACTGCAGTTTCAATAAAGACTTAATTAAACCATTTAAAGGTAGGGTAGGTAAGAATGGAGAAATCAGCTCGAGTGCGCTAGAATTTGAAAGTACGCAGCTGAAAAAAATCTGCCTCTTCCTTCAGACTTCCTTACAGAGCCCCTCCTCCAACACACACGAACGCGCACATGACCAATGAGGGCACGAGATAAGTTTGTGCACAGATGGAAGGCTGACAGGCAGGTAGGCCATCCAGTTACTTTAGCCGGCTCAGATGATTGGTCGTGCTTTTTACAGTACTACGGCTTCCACTGATGATATTGTTTATGTATTTATTGTCAAAGCATTTTATGTATTCATTGCTATCGGGATGTTTGGAGCATTCCATAGAATATAACAAAAAGTGTTTCTGAAGTGAATTACCTACCCCACCTTTAATAACAAACATTAAGCAAGTTACCTCTCTGTCAGCTAGCTACTTTGTGGGCACAGAACTAACACCAAAACAATGTTCTACGACATAAAATATTTCAGTAAATACCTCACTGGTGAATTTAAAAACGTTGGTTGCTAACAAGTGTCTAAATGAGTCGACTATACGTCATCACTCCCAACATTAGCCACCTTTAGCTTAGCGGTGGTGACGTGAAGTCATGTGACCGTGCTGTAGTTCCTTTACAGCCCAACATTAGCCGCCTTTAGCTTAGCGGTGGTGACGTGAAGTCATGTGACCGTGCTGTAGTTCCTTTACAGCCCAACATTAGCCGCCTTTAGCTTAGCGGTGGTGACGTGAAGTCATGTGACCGTGCTGTAGTTCCTTTACAGCCCAACATTAGCCGCCTTTAGCTTAGCGGTGGTGACGTGAAGTCATGTGACCGTGCTGTAGTTCCTTTATAGCCCAACATTAGCCTCCTTTAGCTTAGCGGTGGTGACGTGAAGTCATGTGACCGTGCTGTAGTTCCTTTATAGCCCAACATTAGCCTCCTTTAGCTTAGCGGTGGTGACGTGAAGTCATGTGACCGTGCTGTAGTTCCTTTACAGCCCAACATTAGCCGCCTTTAGCTTAGCGGTGGTGACGTGAAGTCATGTGACCGTGCTGTAGTTCCTTTACAGCCCAACATTAGCCGCCTTTAGCTTAGCGGTGGTGACGTGAAGTCATGTGACCGTGCTGTAGTTCCTTTACAGCCCAACATTAGCCGCCTTTAGCTTAGCGGTGGTGACGTGAAGTCATGTGACCGTGCTGTAGTTCCTTTACAGCCCAACATTAGCCTCCTTTAGCTTAGCGGTGGTGACGTGAAGTCATGTGACCGTGCTGTAGTTCCTTTATAGCCCAACATTAGCCACCTTTAGCTTAGCGGTGGTGACGTGAAGTCATGTGACCGTGCTGTAGTTCCTTTATAGCCCAACATTAGCCACCTTTAGCTTAGCGGTGGTGACGGGAAAGTGGCATTTATATATGGAGATTATCCTGCTGAACAAAACGTGTAAGAATCATAAAAGTTAGTTTCTGCAATAATCCAAAATCAAATGGGAAAAATGCCATTACCAGGGAAATGCTGCCTTCAGGGTTCAACACAGAAATATGGCAACCCTGCACCACTCTAACCCAGAGCAAAAGGCCTATGGGAATGTTGTTAGTTGTGGAGGTATTCATGTAGGGAAACCGCTCCATTATTATGGAGGTCAACCTACGATTTCTAACCACCAACGTTACTGTCATTGTTTGATTGTAGCAAGTGGACATGCTGTTTTGTATGCACTGAGGCAATTTAAAATAACAGCCTATTATTTCTTTACCTACTACCTACCTGCTTCTGCTATTGCACATTCAGCTTTATGTTCAGTGATATAAGAAGCAATAACTGCATTCAGGAGCGAGAACAGCAGCCATGTGTGGACCCTGCTCCTAATGACATGCAGCAGTAATTCTGATTGTAAAGCATCAGAAACACATTTCAGCTTCAACTACAACACATTAAATAGCACATTCTGGTACCAAAAGGTTTACGGAGACAATGGGCCTCAGGCAGGAAGAGATACGACAACACATCTCTTCTTATATGAGTAGCCTATACGCAATTTACTTTTGGGATTTCATCAACTTTCTTCTTCTTTAAGGTGAGAGAAGATTTGAATTAAGGTTTTTACAATCACAATTACACATTACTTACTGTCAACCTCAATGTACATTTGTGTGTGGTTTCTCAAAGTCTACTGGAGCAAAGGTAAATACAATAAACATACCAGCATTATAACATAAATATACAATACGATAAGTAATTGTGCAGCAATAAGTACGGTGGCCGACAAGTGCAAACGCGATAAAGAGTGATGCATACAGCTGGGAGATCAGGGGACACTAAAGAGTGACGCACACAGCTGGGAGATCAGGGGACACTAAAGAGTGACGCACACAGCTGGGAGACCAGGGGACACTCAAATGTGACGCACACAGCTGGGAGACCAGGGGACACTAAAATGTGACGCACACAGCTGGGAGACCAGGGGACACTAAAGAGTGACGCACACAGCTGGGAGACCAGGGGACACTAAAGAGTGACGCACACAGCTGGGAGACCAGGGGACACTAAAGAGTGACGAACACAGCTGGGAGACCAGGGGACACTAAAGAGTGACGCACACAGCTGGGAGACCAGGGGACACTAAAGAGTGACGAACACAGCTGGGAGACCAGGGGACACTAAAGAGTGACGCACACAGCTGGAGACCAGGGGACACTAAAGAGTGACGCACACAGCTGGGAGACCAGGGGACACTAAAGAGTGACGCACACAGCTGGAGACCAGGGGACACTAAAGAGTGACGCATACAGCTGGGAGGCGTCACTTTTTAGTGTCCCCTGGTCTCCGTTGGGATTTGAGCTTCTTGTTTCCTCAAGTTGGTGAAGATGTTTCTTCATTTGCATGTTTTCTGGCACGTATGTGTTATTATATTTCAAATAAAACAGTGTCAAACAAGTAGATAGTGGCACAATCTATCATTGTCATAGAGACTATAAAAAAGTTCTGCTCACAACCTCACGCCACATGCACACAGGCTCTAATGAAGGAGGCATGTCATGGAAACGTTTTTAAAACAATGCCTCGGGCTTACATCATCCACCATCAGTGTTGCTATGGCTCGGCCGATCTCATTATACGACTTGGCCTTTCCCTGAGGTCCCAGGAGAATAAATAGGAATCTGTAGGTGATGGAAAACAAACATTTCACATAACATCACGATCACTGAGAGAAGCATGCTGAAAGACCCTCCATTGTACATTAGACCTGGGGTTTAGCTCTGAGTGTAATGAGGATTGACTGGTGCACAAAGAATGCTTCAGTATGAATTTATTAAATTGTGGGACCCTGTATCTCCGATTTGATAGAAACACATATTTTTTCTTGTTTTTATTTCATTTAAGTATGGCCAGTTCTGCACAACCCTCCGAATATTTTGCACCTCTTGTAGTATCTACACAGCTTTCCGTAACAATACTTCACATATTTTATTGAGTACTATGTGCTTTGCAATACGTTGTTTTTTGGTATATCCAGATTTCCAGATGTAAATCATTGTCTATATCTTAACTTGTGTTTTCTATAATTGTTTTTATTAATTTGTGGGTGTTTTTTCTTACTTTTAATTTTCTTTTATGTATGCACCATGCACATCAAAGCAAATTCCCCGTATGTGTAAACCTGCAATAAACCTGTTTCTGGTTCTGATCTACAGTTGTGGTCAAAAGTTGACAAACAATTGTAAAGAACACCATGACGGTCTTGACTTTTCAATAATTTCTACAACTCTTATTTTTCGGTGATAGATTGATTGGAGCACATACGACATTGTCACAAAACAAAAATCATGAAGTTTGTTTGAATCTGATGGGTCAAAAATAAACATGAAATTAAATGCATGTTCTTTACAGGTGTATGTCAACTTTTGACCACAATATATTCACTGTTCAGGACATGGTTTGGAGAGATGCTGCTGGACAGCCTCACTATGTAGTAATGTCTCACAGGGAAGTTTTATGAATCAGTGATGGAGCAGCTGTTTCTTTAGTTTTTTACCTGGTGGGAACGGGGACCTCGGTGAGACCCCCGAGCGTCGTAGCCTGGGCCAAACGCACAAACGCTACGAAGGGTTTGCTCAGGAAGTCCACTTCACCCACCAAGACGTTGGAGGCCTCTGCGTCTCGAGGGATTTTCTTCATGAATTTATTTTTCAGCTGCAGAAAGTGGAGGATATCAGAATCAGAATAGAGTGTATGGTCAGATACACATACAAGCAGGAGAGGACTCTTTAAAGTAGAGACACTACATACTGATATACACCTGAACATCAGCAGGAGAGGACTCTTTAAAGTAGAGACACTACATACTGATATACACCTGAACATCAGCAGGAGAGGACTCTTAAAGTAGAGACACTACATACTGATATACACCTGAACATCAACAGGAGAGGACTCTTTCAAGTAGAGACACTACATACTGATATACACCTGAACATCAGCAGGAGAGGACTCTTTAAAGTAGAGACCCTACATACTGATATACACCTGAACATCAGCAGGAGAGGACTCTTTAAAGTAGAGACACTACATACTGATATACACCTGAACATCAGCAGGAGAGGACTCTTTAAAGTAGAGACACTACATACTGATATACACCTGAACATCAGCAGGAGAGGACTCTTTAAAGTAGAGACACTACATACTGATATACACCTGAACATTAGCAGGAGAGGACTCTTTAAAGTAGAGACACTACACACTGATATACAGCTGAACATCAGCAGGAGAGGACTCTTTAAAGTAGAGACACTACATACTGATATACACCTGAACATCAGCAGGAGAGGACTCTTTAAAGTAGAGACACTACATACTGATATACACCTGAACATCAGCAGGAGAGGACTCTTTAAAGTAGAGACACTACATACTGATATACACTTGAAAATGAACCTGATATGTCCTCTTTAAGTGTCTTTTAAGGGAAACATGGTTCAAATCACCCATGGATAAAACATTATAAATTGGTGTTAATATCTTGAAACTTCATATATTTCCTACAAATCCCCAAAAACAATGGGAAAATCTTGAACAAAGCGTCCTATCTGCTGCTCTCTATAACCCATACTCTGAATCTGTGTCTGCATGTGAGCGCTGAGCACGAGGCCTGGACAGCGAGATCCATGTGTTCCCCTGACGCCGGGTCAATATCGACAATGTGGAACACACAAACACTCACAGTGACAAACTACCGCTTCTCCATTGTCCCATGTGACCTATTGTAGGCCTGTAAATACAATTCGATGTGCTCGCACCGCTGAAGTTCACACCCTCCTCAACAAATTCTCATTTCTGAATGACACTTAATCCTGAACCCTAATCCGAGCAACAACAGAACGGCCTTGCATCGATTCGGGCATGCGTCACTGGGGGGTTTAAGCCACATTATTGCAATCGGCCACATAAATGAGTGGGTTATGTGTTTGCACGCTTCCCCTAACACCGGCTGTCACCTTCGCTAACAGTAGCAATGAAAGAATAATGACGCTCAGTGTTCGCCACTGAGACACGAGGGAGGTCATCTCTGCAGTGATGGAAAGCAACACATTGGAACATTAGTTTGTGGCAGATAAAGAGACGTTTTTTGCGCGATTATGAAAGATAGGGTGATTTCGTTTAACACAAAGCCCTGCGAATGTAAAATGCTTGTTTTTGGAAATGTGGATTTTGCAGCACATTGATCTTGTGTAACGTGAGTCTGCAGTGTTATGTGGTAGTGAGTTAAATGTAATAAAACTAGTAGATTATCAATTTTCTGCAGATGCATGCTGGTTCAATTATATTTGATTTGCATCATGATTGTCTCCATGCTTCAATGTTCAAAAAGCTCTTTATTGTTCTCATACTGCCTGTGCTGCAGCACCTCTTCTCACCCTCTGTCTGAAACCAGAGCCCAGTCTGCTCTGATTGGTTAGCTGGCCGGCTCTGTTGTGATTGGTCAACCACTTAGAGATGTCCCGCCCCTTAGCCTGTCACGTATAATGTGTTGGAGCGCAAGCCAATAGGAGCGCGAGTGTCCATGCTTTAATGTTCAAAAAGGTCTTTATTGTTCTCCCTCTGTAGGGAACACAGGGATTTTAGCCTCTGCAGACCATTGACATGCACTAACACCTATATAACAAACTACAGGAGAGGGAAAACCCACAAATAGAAGAAAAGAGCCTCTTTAACACGGTTCCTGTAATGTGTGAATATGTGCAGAAGAAAAGCCTCACCTGGTCTGTGCTGGGAGTATCTGCAATATCATTCATACTCCGACTCTGGGCGTGACCTGGAGAGCAAAACAACAACAAAAACAGTTATAACTTCTTAATTATATCTTATATTTTACATATTTTATGATCCAAACTTGTAAACAGTAACATAAGCTTTGGAATAGCAACATGTTCACTTACAGTTTCCATTTATGACGGAAAAAGAGCAAGGTGCAAAAGGTAGGAAGTCTTTTGTGTACTACTTTTTCCCCTATTTAATTTAAAAACATTTTAACAACTTTAATGAATCAATAATTATAAAACATATCATATATTATTATTTTGTAGAAGTACAAAGTAGGAAAACAAACAGGATTTGATATGTTTTACGAGTCATATTACCTCTCTCTCTCTCTCTCTCTCTCTCTCTTCCCCCCCCCTCCACAGCACCGTAGTGTGGAGTTGCATTAGGTAACGCGAGATATACGGCTGATACTTGCGCAGTATCAACAGTCCTGCCAGTAACGTTACTATATTATCAATACTACTTTAGTTATAGCCTGATATATGATAGCTAACTTTACAACTTTGTGATGTGACCGACGTTAGCTAACATTAACTGTAGCTAACGCCGGTCACTCACCAAGACAGCTGCCCTGTTCTCCACTGATTCTCCTCACACCAAAGCTCTATTTCTCTCCGATGGCCGTTATTCCTTCTAATCCTTGGCTGCTCCTGGTCTCTTGGACGCCTAGCAGGCTCATAATTATAAGGTTGTGGTCAGTCACACGCATTTTCAACCTCTTCTGGGTCAAAACTAGCATTGTGATCCATGTTTATTAATACGTTAGACCGGCCGCTCTCCCTCATGTGACGTCACACGCGTTTGGTCTTTTTTTTATGCGGAAGTAAAAATGTCTTTAAAAAATGACGCCAGATGTCACTGTGGTGAAAATCTAGTGTATACATCATTTTCCTACACATGTATTCACTGGGGCTGCAAGTTGCTCTTTAAGCACATTACTTGAGTAACTTTACACCATTGATTATAAGTATTAGGGATGCACGATAATCATCGGCCCGATAATTATCGGTCCGATATTAGGAATTATGACGTCATCCCGATAAACCCGATACCAGTATTAATAGCCCCGATAATATACAATATATTTTTTGGGTAAAAAAAAAGAAAAAAATGTGTGGGTGGATTGGGATGAGGGGCGCTTGTTTTTTACTCGGCTCCTCCCGTTTTGCCAGTACTGTGGTATTAGTGGTTTAGGAAGAGGGGAGTTCTTCACAAATCCAGCGCTCCCTAACTCATGCCTGGCTGTGACGTAAATGGTGTGCGGCTGTGAAGCCAGGACAGTAAACAAACATGCCGTCGGTGGTATGGGCGTTGGAGCTATGTGCAACTCAAGGCATATGCTCGAACCGGAGCTGCCTGGACGCTGCAATCATGTTGCGCACTATCCGTGCTGAGTGTGCTGACTTTTCGTACAATGTCCCACTGTCTGGCTTCCTGCATAAAGTCAAGTGCTCGGCGCAGTTGTGGCGAAATGTCGCTCCTTTGTTTTCATTTAAACAGCTCCGTATATCCGTTAGCGCAGCTAGCTAGCACCAGATGCTAACAACAACAATGCACGTAAGGTCTCTCTCTCGCTCGCTCGGGCCACACATACACACACCCTCCCGGTCCTCCCAACAGCCAGTCGGTGCCTGCCGGTGAGCGTGGAAGTGTGGCTGTCAGCATCAGCTTGTAGATGGTATTTTAAACTCGATGCGCTCTGAAACTACGGGGCGGCCGAGGCAAAAAAAATACACATGCGTTAATCGCGTTAAAATAATTAGTGGCGTAAACTTTTTTTTATTATCGGTCTTGAGAAGCAGGAAGTTATCGGTATCGGTTTCAAAAAACCAATATCGTGCATCCCTAATAAGTATGTTTATAATTCATAATAGATCTGTTTAAAAACGTTAGATTGTTTTGCAGTAAAGCAGAATCATGCATGCAAACAGACTCACGCAGGCGCCCGTAGTTTGCAGACTGCTGCTTCATCCGCAGGTCCTCTGTGGACCGGTTGTTGTTTGTCACCGGCCCCAAACCGGCCCCCGGACCACCTCTGGGCCCCACATTACGAGCTGTGGGAGGGAAACGGACACAAACAGTGACAAAGCGGTCGGAGGTGGGGCTCTACGACAGAGGGGGGTCCACAATTTTTTCACCGAGGGCCACATACAGAAAAATATACGAAGGTCTGGGTCACTCACTAGAGGTTTATTGCCTCATAAGTTCAGTTATAAGTTAGAAAAGTCAACCCAATGTAGGTAAATTATTCTTGATACTTGAAAATGATGTTAGAAAAAAACAGCTCACAGCTCTCCATGGGGTTTCATTTATTTTGTTGGCAGCTCATTCCTTAACACAGAAGCCTCAGATTGATTATAATAAGAGGAAACATGAAGGGTATATTTCTAGCTTGTTAGGTAAATTTGTTATTGGGCTTTTTTCTAATCAAATAAGATTTGTTAGAAGTTAGAACATGTTTTAATTGACCGCATTTATTTGAAAATGTGGCTTATTAACACATGAATACTACTCTGTAATATATTTGAACATATAAATGTACAATATAAGACAAGCAGAAGTTTATTATACTTTAGTCATCATTATACTTCTTGAATTTGCTCGACTTTCGATTCAAAATGGTCCGCGGGCCGCATTGGCCCCCCGGGCCGTAGTTTGGACACCCCTGATCTACGATGAGCTGAGGAAATGCTGCAGCGGTAATTAACTCATCAAACATTGATGCATCCCTCAGGAGGATATAAGCCTCACTGACAGCAGGACAACATTTAAGTCAAACAATGGATGTTCATAATGCATTTCTCAGAAGCTGTGTGTGTGTGTGTGTGTGTGTGTGTGTGTGTGTGTGTGTGTGTGTGTGTGTGTGTGTGTGTGTGTGTGTGTGTGTGTGTGTGTGTGTGTGTGTGTGTGTGTGTGTGGGTGTGTGTGTGTGTGTGTGTGCGTGTGTGTGGGACCAGACAGGAGTACATTATCAAAAGAATAGGTAGGGCTGCAAAGCTATGAGAAAACACGAATAGTAATTATTTTTGACTGATTTTGCAAATACGATATGGGAGGAAATCATAATTTTTGCATCATTATTCAGTCAACTTTGAAAAAAAATCTATTAAAAGGTAATTTAGTGATTTTTAAAGAGGATATGTACCGTTGTTAAGTCTGTAGAATATGAAATGTAGTCTTGGATATCTCTGCAGCTCCTTGATTAAATAGTATTAAACACATATTAAGCCTTCAACAAATCTTGTGCTTCCCACGATTTGAATATTTCATTAGTCCATATTTCCATTTCCATATAATGTCGATTACTTGCATTATTATATCCATATATCCATATTTCATCTGATGGCATTTGAAAATACATTGGCTGTTTTTAAGCAGAGAAGCCACTGGACTGATTTGGACAGGTGTTGTGTGGGCCAAGGATTAACTCTTTATATTTTAAAGCTGATCCAAATAATCATTAGTAATGTTACTTTACATTACATATCATTTAGCTGACACTTTTATCCAAAGCGACTTATAATAGGTGCAAAAACCAAAAAGAATCAAACTCCGATTAACAAGGAAAGTGCAGACATATTCACTTCAAGCAACATCATACAACCCAGTCTCACGGCATTTCGTGTTATAGTCACGAAATTAATCTATTGATTCGTGTTCACCAACACGATTTTCACATTTTTTTCGTGTCACACAGAACGATTTGGAAAGCAATGTATTTCTATTGGTAGTATGTTTCGTGCCTGCACCAACCTGTCGTTCAATGGACAGCTTCCCCCCCATCTATGTATATACTCGCATTTTAGACTCTGTTACTAACTGTATATCTGTAGACTTGGTATGTCTTAAATGTACGGTTAGGATGTATTAGAACGAAATCTAAAATGAAAATTGTAAATAAGCAATCTGTATGTAAAAAACCACCTGTATGTAAATTGTAAATAAGCCATCTGTATGTCAAATATGTCTTATATGTCTTACATGACATCATGAATTGGAAATGGGGGACCCTGATGTAAACAAGACGAAAGTCTTTCTCTGGTCTGCATCCCCTTAACAATTGTATGTTTTGAGCTGTACGTACTGTACCCAATATACAAGCTGTTAATAAACTTTTCAATCAATCAATCAATCAATCAATCAATCAATCAATTCAATCAATCAACCATGTCTTTTTGTCCGGGTCTTGGAATACCAGAAGCTGTGTGGTTCATACAAATATTTTCTTACTCAATATCTTACCCTAAGCCTAAACCTATCCGTTTTATTTTAAATGGTATAATGTCGGAGTTTTCTTGCCGTCTGCGAGGAAAAGAAGGCTCAGAGCCTCAGAATACTGAAATCTGTATTTTGTCATCTTATTTTCCTTCTAATTTGTTATTATTTACATTGCTTTTAAAATCGTTCTGTGTGACACGAAAAAAAGGGAAAATCGTGTTGGTGAACAAGAATCAATAGATTCATTTCGTGACTATAACACTGTGTTGCATCATCGTAAGTGCTGGTGAATCAGATACAAGGCCAAAATTAAATCAACAAGTGGTACTTAATCACAGTAACATTAGCAACACACATACTTTGCATACACATAACATGCAGAGGGATCCTCAATGACACTTCACATTAAGCTAGGTAAGCTAGCTAGCTTAGCGAGGCTACAGACTAATAGTTAATGAGAAGCTACACAACCATCCGAAAAATGACCTCCAATCGCCGGAAAATGGAACCGTCTACGGAGCTGGTGAATTTATAGCATGTTCTGTAATAAAATGCTAGATCATCGTGATCATAAGTAGTAGATATGTACCTGATAGAGGCAGTTTAGCTTAGTTTACAATTTACCTCACAGTGTTACAGTTGGCTGCACTGCTTTTATTAAAAAGCGTTAATTGTGTTAGACAATTGAAGTTAGCTTTCAAAGAAACCATGAAACGCTTATTTTAATTTGACTAGTCAGGTTCCTCCATCAATTATGTTTTTCAAATTGTTCCCTGGTTATTTATCCACAATATTTGACATAAACAAAACATGCAACATGATCCTCACTTCACATTAAGCTAGCTAGCTAAGGGAGGCTGCAGACCCATTTTTCAGGAAGAGCTAACAAACACGACAATCCAAAAAGTGACCTCCAATCGTTGGAAAATTGAACAATCTACGGAGCCTGTGAACTTCTAACATTGTAATTGTATTCTCTTACATAAAGCTAGATGATCGTGATCATAAGTAGCAAATATACGTACCGGATAGAGGCAGTTTAGCTTAGTTTCCAAAATACCCCACGGTGGCTACACTGCTTTAGTAACAATTGTTAATCTGTTTGGCCAATTGAAGTTAGCTTTCAAAGAAATGTCATGAAATGCTTATTTTAACTATAGGTTCCTCCATCAATTATGTTCCTCAAATTGTTCCCTGGTTTATTGTGTCCCATAAGTTATCCACAATGTTTACATAAACAAAACATCCAAAATGATCCTCAATTCACATTAAGCGACGTAAGCTAGCTAGATAAACCAGGCTATAGACTATCATGAGAAGCTAATCAAACAACAATCAACAAAGTGACGTCCAATCGCTGGAAAATGGAACCATTTACGGAGCCTGTGAATTTTGGCATTGTAGTTTTTTTACATTTTATTTTTTTAATGCTAGATGATCGTTCCCCGGTTTATTGTGTAACATTAGTAATCCACAATATGTGTACATAAACAAAGCATACTACATACTCCTCAATTCACATTAAGCTAGGTAAGCTAGCTAGCAGGCTACAACCAGGCTAGAGACTAATGGCGCTGCAGCGGGTAGCTCGCTTTAAGCGTGCCGAGCCGTGCGGAGCCCGTTTTTGGTTGCGTTTCCACTTGGCCTAGTTTTGGCCCGGGGCTACTTTTTCACCTTTTTTCTGGCCCGACTAAATCGTGGTTCTAGGGCCAGGAACAACCAGGCTGAGTCGGGCTGAGTATGCTAAACTAGAGAGAGAATCGCTGGCAAGGGGGCTACAACTACAACAAGATGAACATATTTGACCGTGATTTAATTGTAATACACGTTTCAAAATGATGCCGAAGTAACAACATACTGATACCGGTTAGTAAAAACCATGAATTAATGCTTTGACAAGTCTGCAGACAGACGGCAGGCGAAAAACCCTTTTAAAATGCGTGTTTTCTAAATGGAGCTTGGCTAAGCTAACGTTCTATATGCTCCGACCGTCCACACTCGCAACAACGGCCTATACAGACATAAATAAACCAGCGACTGTATTCTCCATGACACAGGCAGTCTGTGGTTTGTACTTGTTTAACTTTTGTCTAGTTTCTGAACAGATATGAGGAGCTGTGAGCTCTGAGTGCTAAGAGCTAACGGCTGTGTTGTTTTTCTGGGGCTCTCATTGAAGATGACGTCACGGCTCCGCCTACACTGCGTTACTATAGTAACGGCCCCAGTTCCTAAACTGTAATGGAAGCGCAGCATTAAAGTGAGCCGGGCCTAATAAGGCCTAACCAAACCGAGCGAGGCCGAGCGAGGCCTGCAGTGGAAACGCGCCATAATAGTTCATGACAGAGAAGCTAATGGTCACAACCAAGAAAAAAGGGCTTCATATCTCTGGAAAAATGAACCATCTCAAAGCAAGTAGATGCACTTTGGACCTTGTAATTCCCTTTTTTTCAGATATAGCTAGATGATTATTTCCAAAAGCTGCAGAAGTGGACACTCACTGGTTGAAGAGCTGGACTTCCCGATGTCTGCGAGCGAGCGATGTATCGGCTTCTTGGTCTGATGGCGATGTTTCCTCAGCAGAACGTAAGTGATCCTGTCCCTCAGATCTGGAGATATCATGCCTTCCTCGATCTGACTCTCGAGGATTTCATCTGGAAACGGGACATGGTAACATTTCACATGAGAACATATGTCATCAAATTGTTAACAGATGCCTGAATTTGAATATTTTGGTAATACAAGCTTTTTACGTGTTTTTCCATGAGATGATGATTCTCTGATTTTGAATCCCCAAGCTGTCCTAAACTTACGTTTTTCATTGCATATACACACTGTAGCTGTGTATCGAACCTTTCTTTCGTTCAATGTTTTATTTCCAGTTTACAAAGATTACACACTTACTGTTACCCTAAAAAGTATGACGAATAACCCAATAACACAAGATAAAGACCAAGCATACTGATAACTATAGAAACAATCAGAATATTGCAATTTCAGTAATCATTTTTTACTTTTTGGTCATAGTGCATTCAATATTTTGCTTATTTTGGGCAACTTGAACACAAATAGCAGGTTAATTATGAGAAATTAGACAAGGTCCCATTAATGTATTTAGTTAGAGCTAGAATAAACAAACTAAATAGAGGTCAAACTTCTTATAAACAGTATTTGAATACCACAAAACGATAGTAGCTGTAACTACGGTTCTATGAGTCCCGGATGACCGCCAGAGGCGGTGCTTTAGCACTGGATATGTCCATCGCACGCATCCACAGTTCGAGTACCAATAACAACAAAGTCACCTGTGACCCACGTGACACCGGCTACATAGGCCGGCGTCATCAGAGGATCTGTTCCCAGAATCTTCTCGCGAGCACACAAGAATTCTGAGTGACAGGAAACTCTGGCGGTCACCCGGGACTCATAGAACCGTAGTTACAGCCGTAACTATCGTTCTATTTCGTCCCTACTGACCGCCAGAGGCGGTGCTTTAGCACTGGATAACTTATACCAACCATGTCATGAAGAATCCAAGCCCTTGCTCACTACTGGAAGCAGCGGAGCTTGGCAAAAGGACCACGCCCAAAGAATGGGAAGTGGCGACATTGACCTGATGACAACTGGAGAATGTGCCAGAAGACGCCCATGACGCCTCGGCGCAGATGGTCTCCAGGGGCACCACCCTCAGGGCAGCCCAACTGCGCATATGTGCGATGGATATATCCAGTGCTAAAGCACCGCCTCTGGCGGTCAGTAGGGACGAAATAGAACCAAATGACAGCTGATGGCAACAGGACAGACTAATGTAACCTATATTCACATACATGTAACACGTGACCATGCAGTGGGAAATTGAGGAAAACTCAACTGGGAATACTGACTGTTGTCCTTGATTTTTTTTCTATAGATCATGTTATTGATTTGGTGACCGCTCCATGCTAATGCATCAGCAGCTTCCGCTTCGACGAGTAGTTTCAGATAAGTGAGAAAACGTGAGTTGCGAGAGTGTGTCATGCAAATGTTTCGATAATTCACAAATGAGAAGTTGTAAACATTGACAGGTTCAGCCAATGGTGGCAAAGTCAGCTACATGGACTAACTGAAAGTAGCTAATTTGGTTAGCCAACTAAAGCTAGCTTGCAAAGAAACCATGACATGTTTTTATTTATGCTATTTTTTGTCACAGCTCTCCATAGGGTTTCATTTATTTTGTTAGCAGCTCATTCCTTAAAACAGAAGCCTCAGATTGCTGATCATTAGAGGAAATATGAAGGGTATAATTCAAGGTTGTTATGTGAATTTGTTATTGGGCTTTTTTCTTATCAACTTAGATTTATTAGAACATGTTTTCATTTGCTGGGGGGCGTAGTTTGGACGCCCCTGTTCGAAAGGATGTGAATGTGACTCGTCTCACCGATGATCTGAGGCAGAGAGTACCCCTCCAGGTCCAGCAGCACCGTCCCCGTCTGGAGACACGTCCTCAGCTCAAAGAGGCTGTGCAGGGACAGCGTGGAGACGTGAGGTTTACTCCACCTCTCCCCCCCCTCCTCCACCTTCTCCTCGAACTTCACCCACCTGGAGGCCCGCAGGAAAAGAACACAACATAAGAGATACTTGCAGAGAGGGCAAAAGTACACATCCTTTACTCAAGTAGAAGTACAGATACTCGTGTTAAAAAATACTCTGGTAAAAGTAGATGTACTGACAAAAACAAACAACTCATGGGTACAATGAGTGCAAAGACATAAAACCTATGACACGCTATTCAAGGTGTTGGTTCTACCCAGGGTTCGAGTTATAATCTAAATGCGCACAAACAAACACACACACACACACACACACACACACACACACACACACAGCAGCCCTCTACTTGCTACAAACTTAAGAAAAGGTTCAACTACACTTACACTTAATGGTTGTTGGTCATGTATTAGCGACCCCCACAGATGTATGATTTCCCTGCTTTCATAGGAGCTCAGACCCTCCTCATGAGAGCTCAGCTCCCATTGGCTCCCACATAACTCGAACCCTGGTTCTACCTCAGGCAGTTCTTCTGGAAACCTCACATTTCATCCAAACTACTGTATCTTACAAAAGCAGTTTCTAAATACATTTTTGATGAGATTTAAGCCATGGGTTTTCTGCAATCAATCTTTTGATCAAGCGGGAAAAAGAGGTGAATCGTATATCATTAATGATCATTCCCTTACATTTAAAACCTCAGTAACGATGCCATTGAGTCAACACAATACTAGGACTCTGGTTACAACAACATTGCCTGTTAAATAATTAAACAATCTAGACTATGTTTTCTGGACAGGCTGTCTTTCGTCATGCTGATACACTCTTTAAACCCTGACGCAAAGCCAGATCAACAACAACACAAGAGCATGCTGAGTGTTGGAAGCGTGACTGTGACTGATTTGAGTGTGTTGTGTATGTCTTTGTGAGTTTTATCTTCTACCTGGCGGACTCCTTCCACTCAAAGTCGTCTCCTTCTCGCTGCAGAGTGTCCATCTCCGTGAAGAGCGTCGGCTTGGGCAGGTCGTCATCTTCATTCAGGATGTACCGTAGCCGCTCCGCCGCTGGAGACACTGGGATGGAAGAAAGAGAATTTTTACCATTTGTAAAACCACTTTATAGAGTTTTATCAGGCTTAAACTAGTACATAGTGATAAACACCTGAACATCAGCAGGAGAGGACTCTTTAAAGTAGAGACACTATATACTGATATACACCTGAACATCAGCAGGAGAGGACTCTTTAAAATAGAGACACTACATACTGACATACACCTGAACATCAGCAGGAGAGGACTCTTTAAAGTAGAGACACTACATACTGACATACACCTGAACATCAGCAGGAGAGGACTCTTTAAAGTAGAGACACTACATACTGATATACACCTGAACATCAGCAGGAGAGGACTCTTTAAAGTAGAGACACTACATACTGATATACACCTGAACATCAGCAGGAGAGGACTCTTTAAAGTAGAGTCACTACATACTGATATACACCTGAACATCAGCAGGAGAGGACTCTTTAAAGTAGAGACACTACATACTGATATACACCTGAACATCAGCAGGAGAGGACTCTTTAAAGTAGAGACACTACATACTGATATACACCTGAACATCAGCAGGAGAGGACTCTTTAAAGTAAAGTCACTACATACTGATATACACCTGAACATCAGCAGGAGAGGACTCTTTAAAGTAGAGTCACTACATACTGATATACACCTGAACATCAGCAGGAGAGGACTCTTTAAAGTAGAGACACTACATACTGATATACACCTGAACATCAGCAGGAGAGGACTCTTTAAAGTAGAGTCACTACATACTGATATACACCTGAACATCAGCAGGAGAGGACTCTTTAAAGTAGAGACACTACATACTGATATACACCTGAACATCAGCAGGAGAGGACTCTTTAAAGTAGAGTCACTACATACTGATATACACCTGAACATCAGCAGGAGAGGACTCTTTAAAGTAGAGACACTACATACTGATATACACCTGAACATCAGCAGGAGAGGACTCTTTAAAGTAGAGTCACTACATACTGATATACACCTGAACATCAGCAGGAGAGGACTCTTTAAAGTAGAGACACTACATACTGATATACACCTGAACATCAGCAGGAGAGGACTCTTTAAAGTAGAGTAACTACATACTGATATACACCTGAACATCAGCAGGAGAGGACTCTTTAAAGTAGAGACACTACATACTGATATACACCTGAACATCAGCAGGAGAGGACTCTTTAAAGTAGAGTCACTACATACTGATATACACCTGAACATCAGCAGGAGAGGACTCTTTAAAGTAGAGACACTACATACTGATATACACCTGAACATCAGCAGGAGAGGACTCTTTAAAGTAGAGACACTACATACTGATATACACCTGAACATCAGCAGGAGAGGACTCTTTAAAGTAGAGTCACTACATACTGATATACACCTGAACATCAGCAGGAGAGGACTCTTTAAAGTAGAGACACTACATACAGATATACACCTGAACATCAGCAGGAGAGGACTCTTTAAAGTAGAGTCACTACATACTGATATACACCTGAACATCAGCAGGAGAGGACTCTTTAAAGTAGAGACACTACATACTGATATACACCTGAACATCAGCAGGAGAGGACTCTTTAAAGTAGAGTAACTACATACTGATATACACCTGAACATCAGCAGGAGAGGACTCTTTAAAGTAGAGACACTACATACTGATATACACCTGAACATCAGCAGGAGAGGACTCTTTAAAGTAGAGTCACTACATACTGATATACACCTGAACATCAGCAGGAGAGGACTCTTTAAAGTAGAGTCACTACATACTGATATACACCTGAACATCAGCAGGAGAGGACTCTTTAAAGTAGAGACACTACATACTGATATACACCTGAACATCAGCAGGAGAGGACTCTTTAAAGTAGAGCCACTACATACTGATATACACCTGAACATCAGCAGGAGAGGACTCTTTAAAGTAGAGACACTACATACTGATATATACCTGAACATCAGCAGGAGAGGACTCTTTAAAGTAGAGTCACTACATACTGATATACACCTGAACATCAGCAGGAGAGGACTCTTTAAAGTAGAGACACTACATACTGATATACACCTGAACATCAGCAGGAGAGGACTCTTTAAAGTAGAGTCACTACATACTGATATACACCTGAACATCAGCAGGAGAGGACTCTTTAAAGTAGAGACACTACATACTGATATACACCTGAACATCAGCAGGAGAGGACTCTTTAAAGTAGAGACACTACATACTGATATACACCTGAACATCAGCAGGAGAGGACTCTTTAAAGTAGAGACACTACATACTGATATACACCTGAACATCAGCAGGAGAGGACTCTTTAAAGTAGAGACACTACATACTGATATACACCTGGACATCAGCAGGAGAGGACTCTTTAAAGTAGAGACACTACATACTGATATACACCTGAACATCAGCAGGAGAGGACTCTTTAAAGTAGAGACACTACATACTGATATACACCTGAACATCAGCAGGAGAGTACTCTTTAAAGTAGAGACAATACATACTGATATACACCTGAACATCAGCAGGAGAGGACTCTTTAAAGTAGAGACACTACATACTGATATACACCTGAACATCAGCAGGAGAGGACTCTTCAAAGTAGAGACACTACATACTGATATACACCTGAATATCAGCAGGAGAGGACTCTTTAAAGTAGAGATACTACATACTGATATACACCTGAACATCAGCAGGAGAGGACTCTTTAAAGTAGAGACCCTACATACTGATATACACCTGAACATCAGCAGGAGAGAACTCTTTAAAGTAGAGACACTACATACTGATATACACCTGAACATCAGCAGGAGAGGACTCTTTAAAATAGAGACACTACATACTGATATACATCTGAACATCAGCAGGAGAGGACTCTTTAAAGTAGAGACACTACCGATATACACTCTATATCTCTTTAAAACAACAGGATGTCCCCTTTCCTTTGCTCTTAAGGTCAAATCAAAGTGACCTTCACTTATGAAAGTAAATACCGATCTCCAATATTAATCAATAAACATGGTGTTTCTAACTATTTCCACTCAAACCATGTTCACCTCCAGTTGTCGGCTGTTCCTCTGCATTTTCTACATTACAGCAGCAGTAGTGATCGCAGTATCGGACCCTAAGAAGATTCCTGATTATAGCTATTCAATCCTTACAATCCATTTCATTATGGTATGGAGGTGGAATTGAGCTTTGCTGCAGGTTAATGATCTGTCAGCTGCTGCTAACCCATAGACTGAGCTGAATGCTAATTACTCTACACACAGAGAGTCAATTATATAGAAGGTATTTATGTTAAGCGCCAGCTGGGGTTGAAAACAAATCTACAAAATACAACGTTCAGGACCGTTAACAAGGGAAGGGACGGGAGTGTTACAATTACGAGGTAAATGTAAATCTGAGTATCAAAATATAAAAGTAATGTAACTTGATTAAGCTAAGTTACTTTTAGATAACGTCAATATCAAATGCAATGCAAATCAAGTTAAAATTAAGATAAAATAAAGAATAATTCGATGTTTAAGTGAATTAAATAGGACAATGTGACTTTAGAAAAAAAATAAACCAAGATATGTAGGATAAAAAAATATTGTATTTATAGGAAAACCTGCCTTTCATTAATTATTATTAATGATAATTGTGGCGTAATTACATTCAGGCATCAGCCTAAACACCAACAATGAAACAGATGAGCACATCCTACTGAATTAAAAACAGAACAAATGAAGCAAAGAAAGAGAAAACCATGAAGCAGAGTCAGGCAGTAGATTCACACTTAAAGTATTAGCGTTATAACAGCTTACAGAGAAGAGAGAACATCTGATCCACTCAGAAGTCAGACATTTTTTTAAAAAGTGAGATTTTTTTTTTTTAAACTGAGATTTTGACAAGAAATCAGAATTTGTAGGAATAAGTCAGAATTTTGAGCATTTTGAAAGCAGAACATCACAGCTTGCAGAGAAGAGGTAACATCTGATCCTTTTCCAATAAACACTAGATGCTCTTTTTAGGTTTTTACTAACACTGTAATCCACCATTTTTAGAAAAAAGTGATCAGATTGTTTTAACGTAACTGTAAGGGAGTACAGTTAGCTTTTTTGGTATCCTGATTATCCCGTTACATGTAATCCATCCATTACTCCCCAAGCCTGCCATTAACACCTTTTGAACCAAACGTTCGATTTACACATTTACTAACTTCACTAATTGGACAGGAATTGGCTGCCATCTCCAAACTATAATCAGAATCTACATCTCCACGTTCTTTACTTCTCCAACGGGCACCATTTCCTCCGACTGCTAATGCCATCGTATGCATTATTGATATTCATGTACTGACACAAAAACCCTATTTATGTGGAGGATACAGTCAACATCGATTTAGAAAAGGTTGACAATCTCTACAATCGACGTCTCCAGGAGTAAAGCATCAGCATCGTGCTCATTACTCTAAACCTGAAACAGGAGCTACACACTCTCAGGCAGTTTTGCAGACTCCTGCTGTAAAAACCGACTGGAAGGTAACAAAAGCATGAGGTAAAAGTGTGCAACAAATTGTAATAAATGACAGTCTGGAGTTATGTCTCAGCCAATGCTTCGGGAAGCTTTTAAGTTAAAGCAATGCTGGCAGCTGTGTGCAGAAAACTGGTTATTTACAGAAGATTGGTATAACAGTGCGGCCTTACCTCTCTATATATTGGACGTTATACTAAGCACTATTTGTATTCCTTCCATTCTCTACAGTACAAAGAACCGCAACGGAAATAAGCCTTTGGGCATTATTGAGTGTTTTAACGTTTTTCAGTACAATAGGCGCGTTCACACCAAGTACAGATCGCGTTCACACCGGAAATTAGTCCCTGGGGGTGGATTAGGCAAATGAAGCCGCTGACGTCACTTCTTCTTCTTCTGCTTTGGGTTTACTGGCAGGCCGCAAACAACTTCACGCCCAAAGTCCCAGGCCGGAAGTCCCCGGAGTTGGGGACTGGCTTCTACTGAAGCCTTCCGAGTAAATCGCCAGAATGCCGACACCTCCTCATCTCCACCGCTCCCATGTTTTATTTTGTGTTGCCATAAGTTAGTCTCTCTGCGTTTGTGCGCTGGGCTAATGCTAATGCTAATAATGCTAATGCGAGGATAATAAAATGGCGGCTTCACAAACGTTTTTGGGAGTTTGACGGGGCGTGGTTTGCAATCCGCCCAGCCAATCAGACACAGGAAAAATGTTCTCCCACGAAAGTCCCTGCTCTCAGCAGGGACTGAAAAGGGGGTAAAAAAGGTTCTCTAGAACTAATTTAGTTCCTGGGACTTTTTGGTGTGAACGCAACTAAATCGTAGTTCTCAGGAACCTTTGTGGGAAAAGTACTTGGTGTGAACGCGCCTATTGTTATGTAAGAAAAAATAAGTAGTAGAGTAAAGTACTGATACCAGAAAAATGTACTTAAGTACAGTAACGAAGTATGTGTACTCCACTACTTCCCACCTCTGCTTACTTGTACGGTTGATGTCTCTCTGCTCGTTGGACTCCATCAGTCCTTCCTCCATGTCGATGTCTCGGTAGCGGCTGCGCTCTGGGTGTTTCTGCTGGCTGTAGCGCCTGTCCCTGTCCATGTCGGCCGCTTCACGACTCGAGCGCCTTCGCCTGCGTTTGCGTCGATATCCAGGAGGCACCGGGACACCGATGTAGATCGACTGATGGTCTGGGGACAGAAATGTACGATCACATGAATACCAGACAAATGTTTGCATAAAAGGTAATCTGGTACGGAGTGGAATTGATTGATTGTTAATCGTAATATGACATAAAAGAAAAGTAATACAAGTCTAAAAGGTCTCCTATTATACATTACATTACATTACATGTCACTTGTTAGATGTAAACACAGACCATATTACTTCAAAAACACGTCTCGCATTGTTTCTGATAGCAACGTTTCTGATTGGCCCGTGGGCGTAAAGCCAGCCCACATTTCAGATATTATGTCATATCGGACGCAAATCTGGATCAGCTCCGTTGTTCCCCTGTTTTTAGAGATGTGGGTACGGAGGAAAAGAGAGAGGGTTTTGTTTTCTGACACTTTGTGAGTCTCCTGGCAGGGACTCATATTTATGTATAAAAGACATCAAAAAGTGCATTTTGTATAATAGGGGACCTTTAAAGCTCAGAAACTTAATTGGTGCTGCCATGAGTTGCTTTTATGATCGGCATCTCCATATACTCTGAAATACCTGCTGTCTGTCATAAATATATAAGGCATCTTCTCCAATGAAAGGCTTTACAACATCCATCGAAATACAGGTTTTGGCGCAGGTTAATAAATGTTCACAAATGTTCACTTTACCCGAACAAGAACAGAAAACCTTGGGGTCCAGATATTTGTTAAAATGATCATCTCTATTGTACCTTGTCCTTCTTCCCAGAACATTTAGTTGCACTTGTTTTTGTGCAAAACTAAAGTGCCAATATGCTTCGTGCAGGACACCAATTTACGTGAAGAACAAGCTTTAATTGTGGTGCAACTTTTACAAAAACAAATCATGAAAGGCCTCAGAATATTTGAATGGCAGCCAGGCACATAATGTCTAACGAGGTCTTTCATTACCTCATAATACTCAGAGGAGTGTTTCCATAAACAAACTCTGAATACATAATGTTTCACACTGTGTCTTATTAACAGCAGTATTGTTTGTCATTTAAATTAAAAGCAAAGCAAATCTAATCAGAATCAGCCAGTCCTGCAGACTTCCTGTGAGTTAGCATCTGGCTTGTATAATCTCTGTTTTGCAAACAAAAAGCAGAAGCGTGTGAATCTGGTCGTCTGCTGGCAATTAAGGAGTCGCTTTGGAACTGATTACACACTGAACTCCACGTGGAATAACTAAACCACGGGGATATGCAAAGCAATATGGCGTGTTTGGAAAAAGCACAGAACCTGCGAACCTTCATCCCAGTGTGAAAACAGAAAAACACACAAACAATCTCCTGTTAATTCTCACTTCTCATTTGCAGAGCATTGGCGTCCACCAACACAAACGCTCTACAACTCAGACACTGTCAGCGAGTGTGAAGAATCCACTCTCTCATGGTGATATTAGGGGACCAAGTGGGTGTAATGACTTCATTTCCTGTTTCTATGAGCGGAGGGCCACTCCATGATGGATCGACTTTAGATATGAAGCACACACTCACCTTCCTCGTCCTCATAGCGAAGGTGAGAGACGCCCATCCCTCGGTCTCCATGGTCCATCCTGTTTAAAGAGGAAAGACCATTTGTTTTTATTTCAAACAGTCAAAGTGAGACTCCTGGTAAACCATTGGACTTTCTTTCCGAGATACTTTGGGATTCAGACCCTGTTTGAATTGTGCCATGATTTACTCAACTTCACCGTGATTGCTTCACCGTCAAGTACTAAGACAACGAAATGAGACACTGAGTCTTGCTTTGTGCGACATCTTGGTTTTAGCAGTTTTAGTTGATAGTTCAAGAAAGTCGCAGTTTGTCGTAAAACAGTTCGAATGTAAATTGTGTCCGTAATTGTTAATAGTGGATGGAGCAAATCTCCTACTCTCTAACACTACAAAATGCATCGTTGATTAATTAGCATGTTAGCCTATTCGCTAACACAATGCAGTGATGACGTATCTTCGTAGCCAAACCAGGAAGTTAGTATCGCAAGGACGAACATGTTGACGAGAAGCAATGGGATTTCTCAATTGGATTTTGGTTCATTGATGAAAATGATCTCTGTGTCAAACACACTTTTGTGATACTTATGACAGTTGTTTAGCAGGATAATCTCCACATGTCGGAGAACAAAACGTTAAAATATCTTCTGCTTGTGTTAACCACAGAGCTAGCAGGCAAACTGCAATGCCAAGTCATTTCTGGACACATATCGGAGATCAAGGAGGTTCCCATAGGATTACATTTAAGGTTGGCTCGTATATTTGTAAACCAGTCCGCATCCAAAAGTCGCCTAAGTGACTTTATCTCCCGCTAAAGCTACGATGCCTGTATGTTTTGTATGTTTAGTACGAGGATGTACTCACAGGAGTATCTGTCTTTTTAATTTCACTGATTCCTGGATAAAACACATCAGATAAGATAACGGCACATTAGTGCGTAAAACATAGCCGAATTACCTACGTACCAACGTTTGTTTAGCTAGACGAGAGATGCTTACTGAGCTATTTCTCACAAAACTAAGTGTTTTTACGACTAAGAGCGACTCTATTGCCTTGCTAAATTATCTTTGTAATTGACATACATGTTTAGATCAATGCAAACTGAAACTGGAACATTACAACTACAAATTATAAATATTTTACATTTAGTTTTAGCGAAATAAGGACCCATGTAAAAGTGATGTTATTTATGTACACATGTGTGCATGTGATTTAACTGTGTGTGTGTGTGTGTGTGTGTGTGTGTGTGTGTGTGTGTGTGTGTGTGTGTGTGTGTGTGTGTGTGTGTGTGTGTGTGTGTGTGTGTGTGTGTGTGTGTGTGTGTGTGTGGCCTAGCATTACTATACTTGTGGAGATCTGTTTACACAGTCACGTGTGGGGACTCGCCTCTCTTATGGGGACAAATTTGAGGTCCCCATGAGGGGACTCATTAATTTTAGGGTGAAGACTTGGTTAGGTTTAGGGTTAGGGTTAGGGTTAGGCATGTGTTGGTTATGGTTAAGGTTAGGATAAGTCTCCAGGAAATGCATGTAAGTCAATGTAATGTCCCCTGAAGTGATGTATGTGTGAGTGTGTGTGTGTGGTGTGTGTGAGTGTGTGTGTGTGTGTGTGAGTGTGTGTGTGTGTGTGTGTGTGTGTGTGTGTATGTGTGTGAGTGTGTGGTCTAGCATTACTATACTTGTGGGGACCTAAATCTGTTTACATAGTCACGTGTGGGGACTGGCTTCCCTTATGGGGACAAATTGGAGGTCCCCATGAGGGGAATCATTAATTTTAGGGTGAAGACTTGGTTAGGTTTAGGATTAGGGTTAGGGTAAGTGTGTGTGTGTGTGTGTGTGTGTGTGTGTGTGTGTGTGTGTGTGTGTGTGTGTGTGTGTGTGTGTGTGTGTGTGTGTGTGTGTGTGTGTGTGTGTGTGTGTGTGTGTGTGTGTGTGTGTGTGTGTGTGTGTGTGTGTGTGTGTGTGTGTGTGTGTGTGTGTGTGTGTGTGTGTGTGTGGGCCTCCAGCAGCAGCAGCAGCTCCTGTTCACTGACCTGCATGTCGGGTTACAGCGCATATCAATGGAAAAATAATTAAAAGCGAGGCCACGTCGATGGAAATGTACATAATTAAAATGTGAGGATAACTTGTGGCACGTGGGCCGGCACCGATCCACACATCGAACGCCACCAGAAAAAGTTTAAAGCCACCCTGAATCTGCTGGTGACACGATAGAGTATTTACATCCACACTGTATGGTGTACAGTATTGTGAATGCATGCTAGATGCTATTTGGAATTAGAAATGTGCCTATTTTTGTGAAGCCAAATCTGAATTAAGCATTACTGTATGTGCAAATAGTGGGTTTTACGAATATGTGTTTATTGCAATTGATTTCTTTTTTATATTGCATTATATGAAATGCATGTTTAGTGTCGTTTTTTTAGTTTTAGTGTGGAATATCTTTATTGCATTGCTGTTCAATAAAACATCCGGTTCCATTTTTTAAAGAATATTCATATTAACTCTTTACAATTTTTAAATAAGAAGGGTAATACAAATAAAAAAAACATATTTTTATTCATATTGCCTTTTTTTCTGAGTAGAAATATTGTTTTAATTATTCTTTCCGAGTATAACGTTTTCCTTTTTTTTTGGGAAGGAACTATTCATTATTATACAGTTTTCAAATTTAAAAAAACCTGCATACATTTGCTTAGTTAGTAGGAAATGGTAAATTACGTTATAAGGATTGTAGGTCGTTCTTTTGGACGAACCTACAGCTGCACTTATAAAATATGTTTACCTAAAAAATGCATCAATTAACAACAACAACAACAAAAAGTAAATACAGTATGTGAGGGGCCGAACTGAACTCTGTGGTTCCCTTCGCCCTCATGAAGCTTCTAAGCCCTTTTTAAAGCATTTTTTTGGTTTCAGTGCTTCACTGATGTGATTCAGTCTCATTACGTCAACCTGTTAGCAGTTGCATCAGGCTGCTGTGAACCCATTGAAAACCACCTGTTCACCAACAGCAGAAACACAAAGATAGCAGCTGTTGGACACAGTGGAGCAAATTAAGAGGTTTTAAATAAGGGGGCTGTAGGAGACCCAAACAGAGCAGCAACAAAAATAATTTTGAAGTTAATATTTGTGGGGTGTCCAACAAAAATTACATTGCGCTGTCTCCAAATCTAAAGTTATTCTGATGCGATGTTGCTTGGTTTCTTTTACACAAATTAAGCTTTAAAAGTGAGGACAGTGAGGGTCTTTTTTCCATACTCGTAGATACCCGGAAAGAACACAAACATCTTCCGTGAATAAAGAATCTCCAATTTACGCTCATGGCTAAAGACATCTGTCCCATAATTTACAATTAAAGTCAATGAGACACTGGTTGTACTGCAAAAAGAATGGCATTTGAATTAAAGGCTGAATCCTAATTAGATTAAGGTTGAAAAATGATGATTGTCCAACTGAAATAAAGTCAAATATATTGTGTTTTTGTTTTTAAAGGCCGTTTCCAGTAGTACTAAATCGCTGTTCCCATAAGTGTTCAATCACCAGAATTCACCATGATATTTCCAAGCACATCTGCCAACATAAAACAAATATCCAATTTACTTTCAGACCTGAAGACATCCTATACGTCACTTATAATTAAGATCAATTAAAACCTAAAACCTGTAGAAGAAGTCGAACTTAGATTCAAAGTTAAAACTGTTTTAGGTGACGGTTAAAGAATGATCCCTCTCTTGGGTTGCAATTTAAAGTGGACCTATCATGTTATATTGGACAAATATATTGTAGTTCCATACCTATACAAAACATGTCTGTGAAGAGAGATCACCCAATGTAGCCATGCCTCATTCTGCTAAAACCCCTCTTTTGTTAGAGAAACGTGGATCTTGGGTCCTTAGCTTGAAAAAAAAAAGAGGAGGCGGAGCTAATGCCTGATCAGAATTCTACCGGAGATAAAGTTAAATTCTGCTATGATAAAACGCCATCCTGTTTAAACCACGTCAAGGATTATTTCTGAAACAGTATGGAGCTCAATCAATCAATCAATCAATCAATCAATCAATGTTTATTTATATAGCCCAATATCACAAATGTTACATTTGTCTCAGTGGACTTTACAGTTTGTACAAAATATCAGTATGACAATACGACACCCTCTGTCCTTAGACCCTCACATCGTACAAGGAAAAACTTCCGGAGAAAACCCACAGTTTAAAGGGAAAAATGGGAGAAACCTCAGGGAGAGCAACAGAGGAGCGATCCCTCTCCCAGGACGGACAGACGTGCAATAGATGCCGTGTGTAAATTGAAAAGATATGTCAAAAGCTCAAATGCTTTTTCTCTTGCGGGTTTATCACAAGGTGAGTTCCTTTTGTTATTTCCTGCTTTTTAAACACATGTGCTCTCCAGTACAGGTTAGCTCTGAGTGTTAGTGAGGCTTGCTAATGTAAACAAAGACGAGATTACGTCCAAAACACGTCAGGCATTGTTTCTGATAGCAACTTTCTGTGGGTCCGCTGCCAATTTGACGTCAGATCGGCAGCAAATATGTGTCCGCTTGTTTTACACCCGTTTTTAAAAGATTTGGGTACGGAGGAAAAGAGAAAGGGTTTTATTTTCTGACGCTGCGTGAGTTCCCCGACGCACTGGGGACACATGTTTATCTATAAAAGACATCACAAAGTGCATTTTGCATGATAGGTCCCCTTTAAGAGAAGATAAGATCAGATATAACTTACAATTTACCTAACAAAATAAAGTTTTGACTAAATTACAGTTTCCGTATTTAGAGTTGTGTTGATATGATATGATTGCCATGATATTTTATAGAATAGGGTGGTGTATGAGAATTAAAACCCGGAAATGTGTTTTTGGTTGTTATCCTGAAATAAGGTCTGTGGTTAACACAAGCTGACGATTTTACTGGTGAATTTAAAACAGAGGTGGCTGACAAGTGTCTAAATGAGACGACTAAACGTCATCACCCAAACATTAGCCGCCTTTAGCTTAGCGCTGGTGATGTGAAGTCATGTGACCGTGCTGTAGTTCCTTTATAGC